GCACACTATTCGAGTATTTCTCAAAACCCGAGTACGGTATACATCAAATGAGTCAAAAGTAAGATGAAATAGCCTATAGAATGATTTTCCTCGAATGCAGAAAATTACTCTATAGACCCTTTCATCTTACTTTTGATTCATTTGATGTATACCGTACTCGGGTTTTGAGAAATACTCGAATAGTGTGCACACCGCGGACGGCACCAGAAGGTTAAATGAAATTTTTGACGGAACCTTTGTTGGGTACGAAACCTTTTTTGGAATGATTTTTAAAAGGTTTTTTACGAAACCATTGCTACAAAACCATTTTTTGGAATTATCGTGAAAGGGGTTTGTACGAAACCTCACTTTTACAAAACCAAAAAACGGATCTGACGGTGTGCCGAGGATAAGAACCTTTTTTAGGTTCTGTAAAAAACCTTTCTTTTTTAGAGTGTAGTTTACCCATCACAGACCGTTACCAACAGTTAAGTACCTGTCGGTAACGGTCTGTGGGGGAGGGCCGGGGAATGGGAGCAAAATTTCTACCCTAAACACTTCAACACTCCTTTCAGGTCGTGTTTCACAAAATGTGTAGGAATTAGTTTCATATTTGTTAAAATGGTTTTACCTATATATCTCTAGTCAATGTTATTTTGTAGAAGTTATATATACTTTCGGAGGAAATGGTGAGTAGAAGTTTTAAGTCACAGCTTTGAGGTTCTCTCTCCCTTATAATCCTTAGAACCCGTAATTAAGGGTCGTCAAATACATTTTGATAGTATTGGAAGATCCCTTTGCATTCTTTTCTACGTGTTTATTTTCTTATTCTCAAAAACAGAAAATAATAATAACTCAACCCAAGACATGCATTCAAATATATGAAATTAAGAAGATAAGGAGAAGAGAAGCATAGTCGAATAAAATGAAAAGAAAAACTGATATTGTAACATCATGATAAGAGAAAAAAACTTGTGATTAAGGGTAGCGTGTTGAGATGGGGTGGGGGTGCGTGCTTAGAATTATATTCCCGTACCATGATAACGGCTGCTTCTGTCCTGGCGGGACTTCATCAGGTGGTATTCTTGATCTTATATCTACTTAGATATTGTAATTCTTAAATAATTCTGATAGATAACATTCGAATTATAAATTTCGATACAATAATTAGATTTTTCAAAAGACATTTGCACATTTTAAATTTTCCAAATAGAACTAACTTTACTATAATCATAAACAATTATACAAGTCCATATCTATTCTTTAAGACTGAAAATTTTTGGTGTCTGTGTGAGGGTGATATAGGCAGCTATGACACGTTTCGATCTTGCTTAAGGATCTCATCAGATGGCATTAAATCTATATGATTACTTCAAATCAATAAAGAACCAACAGAATTTATTCTATTTATACTGTTATAATATAGAGAAAATTTTCTCTCTTAGCTACCACGACACGTTTCGATCTGGCTAAATATCTCATCAGATGGCAAACAGAATCTCTAATTNCCACCAGAATCTACTAGGATCCATAGAATCCGCCAGGATCCATGAGGAGCCGCGAGAATCCAAGGAGCCAGGAGCCGCTTTTCCCCCCTTGGAAATAACGCAGTAGCTTGTACCAGAGTACTTAAGTTAATTTTTCTGTATATTTTAGTTAAACTGTCTTATTATCGTTGCACAGAATGAAACTGAAGAACAGAACAATCTAGAAGCTCAGGTGCGTTGTAAATTTTTTTTGTTATTGCGAAGAGTAGAGAATCATGTGTCGATAGAGAAATGTTCCAAAACTGTGTGTGCATGATAGTCAACTGGGATGATATAGAAAAATCGTTTTGTCGATATGGAGATTAATTCAATGCTAACTCCAAATATGGTCATCTCTCAACACTCACATTTTCCTCTTCGTGTACTTTCTTCTAGAAACAATTCCTGATTAAACAGCAGAACATAAAATCTGTCTTCGATGAAAAGGGCCTTGATGGGGTTATCCATTATGTAACTGAGCTCAGTGAAGAATGGAAGAAGCAAAAAGTTTCAATCGCTCTCGTCGGTCAGAGTGGTTCCGGTAAATCAACGCTGATCAATCGTTTTCGTTCTCTGTTACCCGACGATGAAGGTGCAGCAGATGTAGCCGGGGGCATACGTGAATGTACCATAGAAATTGACGAATATACAATGAAAGATACAAATGTAATCTACTATGACCTGCCTGGTGTCGGCACACGACGTTTTCCGTTTCATGACGAACCCTCACAACTGGCCTATACAAAGAAATTTGAGTTAGAAATCTACGATTGCTTTATAATTGTTGTACGTGGACGATTTACCGAAGACGATTGGAACCTGGCTCGGTATATTAGTGAACGATTGAAACGAAGCTATTCTTTCGTACTCACCCATGTCGATGTAATGCGACAGGATTTCAAGTATAGAAAATATGAAAAAACTTACGGTTTTTCCTATGTCAAAGATAAGATACGTGAAGATATTCGTTACGTACTTCGAGATGCAAATCCGGATAAAATATTTCTAATTTCAAATCAAATAATTGAATTAGAAGAAAGTGGAGATTATGTGTATGACAATAATCCAGAATACGAATTTGATCGTCTCGTTCAACAGATTCATCGGGGCATGGCAACGAACAAGAAAGCCGAAGCCTTTATTATGTCTACAAAATCGATAAGTGAACATGCAATACGAGTTAAAGCAGACGTTTTACGAAGTTACGTCAAATATTGGTCTTTCTTTTCTGGTGCGGCAGGTAGTATTCCATTACCATTGGTTTCAACGGGCATTGATTTATCTATTTTTATGAGTAATGCGCGTATTTATTACAATTCATTTGGATCGAAAGGAAGTGATGCACTAAAGAAATTAATATTGGACGAAGGCACTTTAGAGGAACAGATAGATCATATATTGACAGCTATCAGCTCAAGTCTAGGCGCAAAAATGATGGCTGGAGTAGCAGGAGCAATGCTCTTTGAAGAAACACTGAAATTTATACCATTGGTTGGATCTGTGGCTGGTGTTGGACTTTCCTATGCAGCTACATCCAATTTATTGCACTCTTTGATTGATTATTTTGAACACGATGCATTACTAATGATCAAAGCAAAAGTCATTACGGATGATTCTAGTTCGAAATTCAGACATGACGACCTATAATAATAATAATAATAATAAAGAAGCAGTCGGGTTTAAAGCTTCTGTAGCATAGTTTTGTGGGTGCGAGAATAAAAAGAGATTTGCAAGCTACGTATGACGTGTTTCAACCTTGCTCTAAAAATTATCAATGAGTTTGATTATGTAAAATGGTAACTTGAGGGTGAGGGTGAGATCGAACATGCCATCATTACGATTTCACATATGATTGTATGATTTAGGGTGTGGATGATAATGACGAATAAGAAGTGAATCAAATCCACACCCACACCCTCAAGAGTTACTTACAATATATTTCGATCTAAAGTTACCTATTAATCGCATCGTTCTTAAGAGCAAGCTTTTATCAAAACGGTTTGTCGTGTGCGGGATTCAGTGCGTGTGTTTTAACGTAGTGATATTCACTTCTCCTGAATCGTTGCATTGTAAGAAAATACAAACTGAACACAAAATATTCGCTAATTCGGTACTATAGTTCTCATGGAAACCAACTAAATTTTCAGTGATTCATCTAAATAAAGTCCATTGAAACAATACCAGCCACTCATATAGAAAAACTGACGCGGTGGGTAAACTATTTTGCCGAGGGCTTTGACTTGAATATACTTTTATTGCTTTCACCCTGGAAAAGGTATTTGCAACAGTATAACTGGGTTCAAAAGGCCGCATATCATGCAAATTTTTATGATATATCTAACGTGGTAATCGTATCCTTTCAGTAGAGGGTTAGCAAGGTTTACGTCGCATTACTTGTTATTCTAATAGAACAGTATCATTTATAATCTTGAATTGATTCTTTATTGTATCAAATTAGAGATTCTGTTTGCCATCTGATGAGATATTTAGCCAGATCGAAACGTGTCGTGGTAGCTAAGAGAGAAAATTTTCTCTATATTATAACAGTATAAATAGAATAAATTATGTTGGTTTTTCATTGATTTGAAGTAATCATATAGATTTAATGCTCTATGATGAGGTTCTTAAGCAAGATCGAAACGTGTCATGACTGCCTATATCACACACATCCAAAAGTTTCAGTCTTAAAGAATAGATATGGAGGGTGTGGGTGTGGGTGTGGGTAGAGTAAATGGCATGTAACACAGCATCCACACCCACGATTCAAGAAATTAATTGAAAGCTTTTTCAACGGTTAGAAATATTCTAAAATAAGTGATTTTCGAAATCTTCTACAACTTTAGTTTGGATTTTTCTCGAGGCTGTCAAACAGCATACATGAATATTTTTAAACTACAATAAAAGCTTTTTTAATGTTAAAATGAGAGAGCAGATAGCAAATGACCAGATTGAAAAATTTCTCATTGATCACTTTGAAAATTATTAAGCTAAAAAATGTTCAATATTACCATTGGTTAGAAGGTACCTATACTGTAAAGAATGTACTTCTTCGAAACCTAAAGTATAATTTTAAGCAATGCTGATAATATTTTTCCTTCGATTAAGGAAATAATATCCCCATATCCCAACTAAACAATGCAAACGCTCAAATGTTTTTTTTTAATTATTTTTAGAATTCGTGAAGAAACTGCAACCTTGTCACGGTAAAAACTCTATCTATCGATCGTTATCAAAATGTTGTTAAAAATTTTATCGACAAACTCTAGCGCTCTCTGTCCGAAGCTACTATCGTTAAAAACGATGATTGGTTGTTAAAAATTTGCCTATTCGCTAGCTAGCTAGTTTATCATATTATGACATTACATACGTTTTAGTATATTATTATTTATTTTTTACGTGCAAATAATAAGCTATGGCCGATGTCACATGGGATGAAATTCGTAATTTACGAGCTGATTTTCTTAATTTACAATTAACAGAAACAGCTAACAAGTATGTGAATATGTTACAATACAAGATGACAGCATTGTATTATTTTCTTTAGACTATCCGAACGAAATTGTGTTGAATTAATTGGTCTTTTAGTTAAAGAAGGTTTATTAAATGTAATTTATACAACCGATGGAAAAGATATTATTACTGAGCAACGACTTATTCGAGAAATTCTCGATGAAATTTATGCTAATGGAGGTAATATAAAAGCACATAGTCACGAGCGAGAAGTCATCATCTTTTTTCTTTAATTTCAGGCCGTATCAATATTGTTGATTTGGCTCAACATCTACGAATTGATTTGAGTTATGTTGAAAATAAAATTGGTGATGTTTGTAAAGAAGACTCAACATTACAATTCACTCTTGGACAATTTATTTCAGCGTATGTGTTTTCTAAACAAAACAAAAAAGACTTATTCTTTGAATGTTTTATTTTCTCTCCTTTTCAAGTGATTATACAAATCGTTTGATTGAAGAAATAACTGATATTTTAGTTGAACGTGGTCTTATTGCATTCAGTGAATTAATTCGTCAATTTGATTTACCTACCGAATATTTAAATTCAATAGTAACCAATCGAATAATTGGTTCATCACAACATAATATAAAATATGAATCTGGAACATTATATACAGAAAACTACGTTCGTTTACAACAAAATATTCTTATTGGCTATCTACAAGGCGCACTTTTACCTTTACGTGTTAATGAATTAATCAAAAATACGTGTATTAATGAAAATCTTGTTCAAAGTAATAAAATAATCTTTTTTTAGAAAATTATAAAATCTATTTTTGTTTTTTCACTCATATAGATCTTATTGTTAATTTAATTCGAGAAAATCGAATCAATGGAAATCTTATCGGAACCACCAAAGAAAATTCAATATTTTATCCAAAACTTTATACTGATGCTCAAGCGAAATATATTGAATCGTTTTTTTCGCAAAATGGTTATATTGAATATTCTCTTGTTCGTAATCTTGGTGTCAATGATCCTGAAGGACAAACAAAATCAGTATTAAAAGATCGAAATCAAATTCTGTTTTCAACATCTGGCTGTATCGATCTGTTGAAATTTTTACCACAATTGGAAATGAATATTGAAAGCGGTTTAGTTTCAAATGAATATGTCGATGTCACAACATTAATGCCAAATAGTTTTAATGACAATGATATTGAAAAATTATTTAAATCAGAAACTTCAATTAAAGAATTAGTGAAATCCTTAGGCGGCGAATTTATGTCGAATACATTTATTATTGGAAAAGAATTACAAGAAAAAATTGACAAGAAACTCAATGAAATTTGTCAAGAATATGCAGAAAAAGTAAGAAATCGACATAAACGATACTACCAATGATTTCATGTGAAAGCCATCGATAGTACTCTATGTTCAATGTTTTTCTTTAGGAATCTGCTCAATGTACACCACAAATGTATGCATCTGTTCTTCAAGGTAACATTACCCTATCGAGTCCATCAGTAGCGAAAGGTGCCACTGCAAAAAAAACGACTGCGTCTGGTGGTAAACGAAAAGGTGCATCGAAAACTGTTGAAGATACAAATCCTAATCAAGAAGCAATATCTTTTATCAGTAAAGATGATATAAAATCTCAAATTCAAACTATCAATGAAGAATTACCTGGTGAAATAGTCGATTTATTAGTAGACAATCTCTATAGGTAGATATTTATTTCTTTTGAAAAAAAGTTGATAAACTGCTTATATTTTATTTTCAATTCAGTGCAAAAAGTCGTCAATATCTTGATTTATTTATTCAACGTGTAAAAGAAAGTTTTACATTGAAAGAAACTGAAACAGGTAATGATACAACAAGAAAGAGTGAAAAGAAAAATACACAAGAAACCATTAAACAATTACATGGAAATATTTGTATATTTTCACATTCAATTGAACAATTAATGGCAGAAAATGAAACTAATCTTGGTAAAATTAAAAATGCTTTTTTTCTTTATGAAAAATATTTTATTTAGCTGAAAATTTACAACGACATTTAATTCGTTCACTTTGCACTGATATGTGTGATGCCATCATACGAGAACTTGATTCATCAGCGAATGCTAAAACTGGCCAATTATCAATTGAAGTACGAATATTGTCAATCAATATAAAAATTTAAGTTTTTGTTTTTCATTTTAAGGAACGAAATAAAATTATTCAAAAAATGTCTGAACCAAATCGAAGTCAATTATCAAAAGTTAATGAATCACTCAATGGCAAAGTAAAATAAAACTTCAGCAATTTTCTATCTAGAATCTTTTCTATTCAATAGAATGTTGACACAACCTTGACTCGACTCGAAGATGCTTGTAGTGAATTACTTCAATTAATATTAAAACGACCAAATAAAAAATCCGAAAAGTTTGTATGTAACTTTCATTTGGCAATATTAATTTTTCTGTTTCGTAGAGATTTAATATTGGAAATTCGTGAAAAACTTAAATCAAAATTAACCGATGAACAAGATCCAGCAATGATACTCCATTTAACAGTCACTCTTCTATTCTATGCTGTGCAGGATGGCCGATTTATTCATGCACCTGGCAAGTCAGTACCAACATTAATTAAATTTTTATCAAAAAATCTTCCGACTAATATCAATCAGCGATTACATGAAATGCAAGGTTTGTTGATTTTATCGAGCCGAAGAAAAAAATTGTCGGATCGACTTTTATTTGCATTTTATTATAGAATTTGTCATTCATCAATCAGCAGCAGGAGCAAGTGCACAATTGTCAAATGAAAAAATTGAATTTATTAAGAAATTAGGCTTGAGTGCAAAAGAAAAGATGTCATTTGCATCTTTTGGAAGCGAAACTAATGAAGCATCGTAAAATTTTCTTGTCGATTTTTTTTTCAAAAACTAAATATATATATTAATTATGTAAGAATGGGTTCCTGGTATTTGTTCTTTAAGTATATTTAAGAATAAAAATGAAAATTTATATAGAACCTGGATATGGATTCAAAATCAGCTGTTACAAAATGCCGAGTTTAAAATATTTTTCTACTATTTTTAATTGTTGAGCGGATCAAAATTAAAAACTTTCATAGGACGCTTTGATTAGATTTGGTACACTTCAATACGCAGGTTCTGGATTATCTAGATACTACCGGTAAAAAGAAAGACTTGAAGTTCTGAGCTCGCGGTACTCTATTGAAAATATCAGATGTGATAAGATATTCTCAAGTGAATAACTGCATCGAATTTCATCATAACATTTATTATCGCCATAACCATGATGATGCATTCTGTCATATGTTATCGATTGTTACTTTCGTAGCTTCTAGGCGCTCCAGTGAAACACATAGATTTGTTTTTAGAACTTGACAATAAATGCTATCCTTTTTTCCCACTGTAACAGATGACGTATAATAAATTCGTAAAAACTTCAAGGTTCGATGAATTTGACTACAAACATTAACTACACGATCATCGTAACCTTTTTTCAAAGGTTCTACACGTAGATAAGAAAAATTGATTTGAAGTGAGTCTAAATATTTTTAATATAATAGTACGGTGACTTTATTTTTCAGATGGCAAATGATAATCGTTTAGACGAGTATTTAAAACGAATAGAATCAAGTCATCCAACAAATGGATGTACTGAAGAATATCTTAATCGATTACAAGTCGCTCATTTAACACATATTCCATTCGAAACATTCGATCTAATCGATATTAAACTATTAAACATTTCAATGGATCATCGTTTTGATCGGCTCGTACGACAAAATCGAGGTGGAGTTTGTTTTCAAATGAATGGTCTCTTTGCTGATATGCTTAAAAAACTTAATTATAACGTTAAAATAATTTCATGTAGCGTTTATAACGAGGAAAAACATTTCTATATCGAACCTCCTTGTCATGCAGCATTATATGTCAGATTAGATAATGGTAAAACATTTCTATGTGATGTTGGTTTCTCAAATGATTTTCTTACGCCATTGTTCTTTGAATTGGACTCTATTCAATATGCAACTAACGGATTTTTTCGTTTAACAAAAACTGACGATCAATTATATTACAAAATTGAGAGGGGTTATCTCAATACAGATGATCACATCTCTCTACCAACTTCAGCGACCCCTCGTACTCATATCATTGATATTGATTCAAGCCGGATAAAGTGGACCTTATCTTATCGATTTCCAATTGATTTTCTTGAAAGATCAACTGAAATCGATGACTTTCAAAATGTAGTTTCAGATGTTCTTTATTCGCCGAATGTTTTTCTTAATCATCTTACGATATGTCACTTACATACATATAAGCCTAACGTTGGTGCTTATAGTATTGTTGGCAAAAAATATTACGAGTGGATCATAGAAAATGGAAAAGCAACTCGCAAAGATTATCCAATATCGGATAATGAAGATGAACTAAAAACATTACTAAAAGAAAAGTTCGATTTAACAATTGAACGAAAAATTGAACTTGCCGATAATAAACAATAACTACTATAGTTATTCGACTAGACAATGCATTGTCATTCGCTTTTCTTTTTCACCTTGTCTTTCACAGCTGTTATAAGTATTTTCTTCATATTACTATTTTATCATATTAATAACCTTGATACCTCCTAGTGTGAAAATGAAAATATGCCTCGACTGTTTTATGCCTATGTTACCGATTGATTCATTGACAAAATAACTCGGGACTAGTAGAAGTGTCGAAATGATGACTTAATGTTCCTATAGCAAGCATGAGTCATGCATTCTATCAAATGTTTGTATATATATGTATATATGCTGCTCAAAGGTTTATCCAACATTTTATCAGTACACATACACTGTAAAAGAATAGAGGAAAAGAATCGCATCTGATTTTCATTTGGAATAGGAGAATACTATTTCAATCGAACGACGTTTTAGATATCATCAGTGCGTTATTACATAAACAATAGGATGGCGTTTGACTGAAAGGAAGAGACGATACGTCAATATTTATCGATTCCATCTAAATATTTCACCTTATCAAGGTGACACATATGTCGATTGAAATCTAAGCTTTATAATGAATGGCAAAGTCAATCCTATCTTTGATGGTATTAATCATATGCCAGCAATCATAGAACTGTCTTGCGAACGAAAGTTTACAATGTACTTTGATGATTCTTAACTTCCTGCTGACCTCTCACATTAAGATGCAACATATATATACGAAAGTTTATTATTGTTGTTGTTGACGTTTTATTAGCTAAAAACATTTCACTTGCTACATGCTAAAAAACAAGTGCATATGTTTATTGAAATACAATAGTATACATCCTTTTGTTGATTTTTCTTTCGTCTTCGACGTAGATCTTCTACGATTGTGATTCATAGTCACATGATAAGAACGTATGTTGCTACGTCAAGATGTAAATCGCACATCCTATTAATATTTTAGTTTGTCATTTTGTAATATATCCCTATGTATATTTGTCGAAAATAAATCGAATCGTATTATATTCGTCTTAAACAACTGTGGTTTTTATTTAATGAATCGATACATGAGAGAATCCCGAAGGAGAAAAACATCGGTAGTTTTTGTTGTTGTTGTTGGTGCTGATTATTAATTCAATTCTTAGGAGAATTATCTCGAACATAGAGAATTAAAAAAAAGAAAAGGAAAACACCTGCGTATCAACATCAATCTCATACACGTGGAGATTTGTCATTCGCTTAATGTGCCAATCATCGCTGAACGCGTAGACCTAGTACTTTCAGAGAGAAAATTAGAAAGTCAAAAAGAACTATATGATCATAGTATTTTTCTTTTTTGGCATCTGCCTTCTCATTTATTCTTTACACAACCCAATGTTGCCCTTCTATTGATATGTTTTTCTTTACAAAAAGATTAATCTGCGAGCCGTTTTATGCGGTGAGACACGATGCAAACTCACATACGGCTTTATCGAAAGTACATATACGCGAAAAAACGAGCACTAGCGACAACAGCCTTTTGTGCATTCTCTCTCTCTCTCTCTCTCTCTCTATTTTGCTGTCTGTCTTCCTTCCTTTGGTCTTTGTAGGTATTTCTTTCTTCTTTTTTTTTTATTTTCCAGTTTTTCTCTCCGTGTCTCTTACTCGTACAAATTGACTTGTTTTTCCTTTTTCTTTTTTCACAGTAGTGTTGGTGACGGTGACTATCAGTATTCTTCAACCTAATATTAGACATTTATTTTATCTCTAGTTCAACAATGATAAGGTTATTCTTATTCACAACTATTTCCATATCGCTCTTAAACGTAATTAATTGCGGTTACGCTGAATGGGAAGAAGTTAAACCCTATTGTGGTGCTCGTCCAAATCCGCAATGTTGCGTTAGTCGAGATGATGATTGTTTTATGCCCTATTATGATTCTCGGTGTTATTGCGATACATTTTGTTTTCGCGGTATTGATAATCACGATTGTTGTCCCGATCATGACACTGTTTGTGAAGGTAAAAATGCCACCGTACCAGTTACAGTACCGCCAAAAACGTGTAATTGCGTTGATGCAAGTACGGGTCGAGAATATTCATTAGGTGAATCATTTAAAAGGGATTGTAATTTATGTCGATGTATTACACTCGGTCATCAAACAACATTATCATGCGAAGAAGACCTTTGTGTTAATAATCCCGATCTTATATCACATATTAATAGTCAACAACCATATATTGGTTGGGCAGCAACATCCTACGATAAATTTAATGGTGTTAAAGTGAAAGACGCATTAAAACATTATCTTGGTACAATACCAGACCGAAGTTTACGTACAATGGTTGATAATGCTCCACACAATACAGATGATTATTATAAAATGGAAAAAGTAGATTCGTTCGATGTTCGTACGCATCCTTTATGGTGTGGGAAAATTCGTGGTATTCGTGATCAAGGTAAATGTGGTGCATCATGGGCATTATCAACGGTTGATGTTGCTGCCGATCGTTTATCGCTTGTACAAAATATAACAATACCAAAAGATCTGTTCAGTGTACAAAATATTCTTTCGTGTACAGATCAAGATGCCAAACAAGGTTGTGAAGGTGGTCGCATTGCATATGCATGGGGTTTTATTAAAGATCGTGGTGTGGTTACAGAAAGTTGTTATCCGTATGAAAGTGGTACAACAGGTAATATCGATGCATGTAAATTTCATTTGTCTGAAAATGAATTAAATATGATATCTCAACATCGAAAATTAAAAAATATTAAATGTCCATCGAACGCTAACAAAGGCGAACATTTTAATTTTGGTCCAGCTTATCGCGTTCGTGATGACGCACTTTCAATTAAATATGAAATACATTTCCGTGGTCCTGTACAAGCAACCATGCGTGTCCCGCCGGAATTTTTCTTGTATAAATCTGGTGTTTTCCGTTGTGGTGGATCGAGTTATCAGAATCACAATCCTCGTTATGCTGATTTGGCTGCTTATCATTCAGTTCGTTTACTCGGCTGGGGTGTAAGCACTGATCCAAGTACAAATCAGCCAGAAAGCTATTGGATTGTTGCTAATTCATGGGGTACTGGATGGGGTGAAAAAGGCTATTTTCATGTTCGTTTCGGTTCATGCGAAATTGAAGAAACAGTTATTGCAACATATGGGAAATCAACCGATGTATTAAAGAAAAAGAACCACCGTCAATAAAAAAAAAGAAGAAGTTTAATTAAACAATCAAAAATATGTTTGTGTGTTGTGTCACATTTTTTTCTCCTCTTATTAGTTTTTCTATATATATATATATATATATAAATAGATTTCATTCTTTTCATTTCTTGATATGATACATATTTGTCAATTGTGGTGACGTCGATGCACGAGTAGGAGTAGAAATACGAGTGATCATATTACTTTTCTTTTCTTTTTTGGATATGTATACGGGGTAAGATCAAAATAATAATGTCAAAAGAAACTTGCTGTTGTTATTTGGTATGTCTACATATCCTGTCCTTCTTTTTTATCGGTGGGCCTTCTTTTTATATATTGATTTGATCGACCTTGCTAGGTTTGCCATCCATTCTTTGTGTTAATCTTACATTATTTATTTCACACGCATAAAAAAAAAGAAAAGAATGACAAATTCCTGTTCCTTTCTGGTTTAGTCAACGACTAATTAACAAGCTGATGTTGAGTGTAAAACGTAAAGTGGATTATGAAGTGAGAGAGAAAGAAAAATGACTTATGTACCAATGTGATTATACTAAAATAAAGTTATATATCTTGAGAACTTCATTAGGATTCAAGGGAAATATGAGCTTTGCTTTTTCTACAGTATTTATGCATTCAATACATGCTTGTAGACGTATTATTTTCTGATAATCGAAAAAAAATGAAGCTACCGATTAAGTATTTTTATGTGATGACAATAACAACATCCGTCAAGGTTTTTCTCTTATTGAAATATGAGAATGAAATTAATTTTGCAATGTTAATAGACGAAAACTCGGTGACAGCTCTATTTTCCTTTCATATTCAAACGTAATTAAAAACAAACAGGAGAAAATGAATAAAATTTTTTTTTATTAGAAGTTGACAAATAAAAGTGTTGAATAATTTTTTTATCAACTATTAATGATGATTGGGTTTTTTTTCAAACTCAGGAAAAGACTTGATCAATGCAATTCAGATCGTGTTCTTTTATTTTTATTTTATTTTTTTTCTTTGAAAAATATTCTGCAAATAGAGTATCGCTAAATTAATAAGTCTGTTTTTAGCCAATGTGAGCCCATGATGGACGTTTACTTTTGATGAAGCTTTCTCGTTTTCCAACCGTTGCCCAACTTGGTCGTTTAAAACGTTTACGATCTGTAACTAAAGACTTTGTTTGTCCCAATACTGGATATAATGATGATAAATCCGATGGTGGTTCGGCGTGTGATGCAACCGTCAGTTGATCGAGATAATCTTTAAGAGTTTCATCATCGGCTAATTCATTCATTGTTGTATCCAAAATTGTACTTTCGGGTTTATTCGGTAACGATTCATTTGCAATCAATTCATATGGACATGGGTTAGCCTTTGTTGTCATTGTTAAAATAGTAAATATGAACGGTAAGAAAATCAACGAGACGTGAAACATAATTGTCTTGTTGTTCTTATCAAGAAATACGAGTTGGTCTGAGCTCTATCGAAGTATTTTTTTGAATGATAAGCAATTTTTAAACGATGTGCGAAGAAAGGCAAAATAATAAACTATAAATAAATCTAATAGGCGGACAGTTCATCTGTTTAATATATCGTTAAAGTATTGATTGTCACTGTTGAATACTTCACGAGATTGATTATGTTAATTTTTTCTCGAAAAAAGTTGTTCAATAGAATAACATTTATGATAAATACCAGATACTTCATCTTGTTTTCTTCAAACATTATGGCATTTGCTTTTTGTTTTTTTTGAGAACCTCGTTTATCATCAGAATAATCATCGCTGTTTTATATACATAATTTTATTTCAATGATAGAAAAACTTTGATTTTCTTTTTCTTTTTATTGTGTTGGTACTGATGGCTCATGCATTTTATTTTTTTTTTTGTAAGCTTGAATTTATTAAAATGGTTAATTTTGACGGTTAGTAACTGCAACAAGGTTTATCTTTAGTCATAAAATGTTGCTTTTATAAGGATAATTTTTTTATGCATTCCTCTGATAAGTCGTTTGGCAGTGTCACTTTAAGTTTTGGCTCGTCAGCCATAGCTCGTTCTACAGTTTGTCGAGCATTACTATTGCCAGACCATGATCGACGACTAACACCATTGATGACATCCCAATACAACATTTGTTGAATATTTTCATCAGCTTTTGTACTTCCATCAAGAAACATTCCGAAGCCACCTGAAAATAAAATAAATTATTTTCCAAAAACAAAACAAAAGAAAAGAAAAGTCTCTACCATTAATTGCTTGACCAAAGCCTGTACCGCCACCATTATGTAATGCAACCCATGTTGCACCACGAAAAGAATCGCCAATAACATTTTGCATCGACATATCTAAAAGAAAATCATGGAAAGAAAATTTTCTTGTTCAAAAAACAAACCTGCACAAAATGCAGATCCATCGTCGATATTTGCTGTTTCGCGAAAAGGTGCATCTGTGCCTGATACGTCATGATGATCTCTTGATAGAATAACTGGTCCTTTCAATCGACCTGTTCGTACAGCTTGATTAAATGCTAATCCAATTTTAATTCTACCCATTTGATCCGAATATAAAATTCGTGCTTGAGAGCCAACAACTAATTTTGCCTCTTCAGCTTCTTCTATCCATTTCAAATTGTTATAATACTGTTTAAAGACATTGGCGGGAACTATATGGCATGAAAAATGTTTTATAAAAACTATAAAAAAAACTCCGCGTTGTCCAATACGTACTATCTTTACATGACATTTGCTCTTTAATAATATCTCCGGCGATTTTATCCGTCTCTTTTAAATCACTGGCTAATCCCGATGCGCATACCCATCTAAAATGAAACATTCAGTACAAATAGAAAAGAATGATAAAGTCAATGAAAACCTAAATGGTCCAAAACCCAATGAAAATATATCACCCATAATATCTTGCACATAGGACGGATATTTAAAACGAATAACATGCTTTTCATCACTGTTACCAATCGGAGCACCTTGAAAAAGAAATCATTGTAAGAACTTTTTCCTACTGTTGAGTCATACCTGCATTTTTAGCTGTGAGTAAAAATGCATTACCATAATCAAAAAAATACATTCCACGTTCATATAATATATCGATAGCAGCTATTTGCCGTCGAATACTAAAAGGAAAACGAAGCAAAACATACAGTTAACAACACATATTAATAGAAACTAAAGCAAAATAACCTTTCATGAACAAGTTCTTTGAATTTGTTTGGATCATTTTTCATAAGTTGTCGAGCATCATCATAGGACAACTAATGGTACAAAATATTGATATGAAAGCACGATCGAATATTTGTTTTTAATTTACCTGGACTGGATAATAACCGCCTTGATATGGATTATGACACGATGTTTGATCACTACCAAGATCCACTAGTGTATCTTTTTCTTTTGCTAGACGTTCCCTAAATAAAATAATTTTTTTATAGAACCGAGTTCATAAAAAAGACGTATACACACCAAAGATCAACTGCATTACCAACATAACCAATGGATGTTGCCAATTTCTTTTCCCGACACTCCCGAATGCGAACAATCAATTGATTGAGATCATAGATTAACTCTTGACACCAACCTTGATTATAACGTTTTCTTGCTGCTTCTTCGCTTACTTCAGCAATAACACCAACACAACCAAGGAGTTGGCATGCTTTTGGTTGAGCACCAGACATTCCCCCCAAGCCTAATCAATAATCATATTTTATTGAACAATAATTCGATTGCTTAGCTATATATTACCTGATGAAACAAATACTTTTCCGCGAAGATCATTTGTATTAAACTTCTTTTGAGCTGCATTCATAATTGTAAGCTATAATCAAAAGGCAAGTTTTCAGTATTTAAATAGTAACCATTCTGCTTCACGTACAAATGTCCCATGGACAATGCCCTGCGGGCCAATATAACAATAAGATCCAGCGGTCATCTGACCGTACCTAAACACGTTATCGTATTTTGGTTTTTATAAATAAGCTCAATTATTCAAAATTTACATGGTACAACCAAGTGCAAACATTCGATCATAGTCATTCGTTGATGAGTAGTTTGGAACCACCTTAAAAAAATAAAACAATCCTTTGAAGTACGTCTCTATTTCATGAAACATACCAAACCGTTTGTGATAACTAAACGTGGTGAAAAATCACTTCGACTTGGAAATAAACCCATCGGATGTCCCGAATACATGACGAGAACTTGGTCATCCGTCATTGTGCTCAAATAATGCATGACCAATACAAACTAAAATATTTTAATATTGTTTTGTAAAGTTTGAAATTTAATTAGGTCTGTTTACTTGAGCCCAATTAGAAAATGCTTGACCATTGCCACCGTATGTAACTAATTCATCGGGAAATTGGGCAACTCTTCTATCCAAATTATTCATTATCATCAGCATAATAGCTGCAGCTGCTTTACATTTGCATGGATATTCATCAATTGGATATGCACGCATTTCAATATCTGGTTGAAATCGATACATATAAATATGACCATAGGTATCCAGTTCATAGATGAACTCATCGATGAGTTGTCCTTGAATATGCGATGGAAAATAACGCAGTGCATTTTTAATAGCTAACTAAAATGGTGACGTTTTTCCAGAGAGAAATTGAAGACGAAAAAAAACTCAGCCACTAACCTTTCGTTCTTTGTTTGTTAATGAAGATTGTATATCGGGAGCATGTGGTACATTTACGTTTCGAACATTTTTCCGTGGTGGTAAAGGATTTAATGGTAATCCTGAACAGATTTTACTGAGAATTTCATTCGCCATCTGAAAAATGAAAGGAATCTCTTTTGGAAATAATAATGTTATTTTAGTACAAAAAAATAAAAAAATGAACTCATGATTTTATGATATCTAATTCTATCAGTTCATATGTTGTTCTACTCTGCATTTAAGAACTTTTCTAAACAGAATGCATATGCAGCCACACCTTCCAACACAAATTTGACGACGTAATTGCTATGCGCTTGATTTATTTGAGGTGTCGAAGCAAAAGAGATATAGGCGATGCAGTCAAGCAGAACAATATAGATGAATGATAGAAAGTTAATTTCGATATGGTAGGTTGATATTCAAACATTATACATTCAAAGCATACGATACACAAATATGCAAGTTGTGCAGAGAACGCTTATTACTCGATACACAAACTGTAAACCAATTACATTGTGAATCCGTGTAATACCAGCATCCAATTGTTTTTCTTCTGCACGAGAAAATTAGAGAATTCACTAATTTCCTATTCAGACTTTTACAGCGATTATTTGAACAAATGTAACTGATAGTATTAATAATTGTATAAATATGTTCATTTAGATTTAGAATAATTATTGAACTGTTTTTAGAGATTCTTGAGTAGAGTTACGAAATTCACTTTTGTTAACCTAATATTTTGCTTTTCTCTTCTTTCTGAAACTTTGATTTTGATTTAACAGATTATCTTCTTCTTCTTCGATATAAAATAAATATTTCTATTGCACTCATGAATATCACAGTAGAAAAAAGTAAAAATAAACGCTTTGTTTGCTAAAATATACGCAAATGATATGGTTTCTTGAACACGACATTTGTTTTGTGATTATATATCTAATAAAAAATCAGTCGTATCTCGAAGTTTAACAACATAATGATCAATAACCTCGAATAGTCGCTATAAAAAAAATAAAACATAAATATCGGATGCGTGACTTTTCTTTACAGGAAAAATAAAAGTTTACGGTTGATCACAACAAGTCTGTATTAAATGGGTTACATGAATTTCGGCCCAAGGAATTTTCGGGCCGGACTTTCGGCCTCAAATGAAATTTTTTTTATCATAAAACTGGGTCATTCTCATCCTCATATTCATTTCATAATGGGCCGAAAGTCCGGCCGAAAATTTCTTGGGCGGAAATTCCGGGCTCCCTATTAAATTCATAGATTATTGAGTGGGATTCGCCTATGTAGACATCAAAATACAACTAATGAATAAATATTGTTGCGTTGATACACTCTACGTAGTAGTGTTGTTTGGTTATAATTAACCACAAAGGTGAATATGAATGACATGTTTTGTGCTGATGCTTGTATTACTAATCTGGGCGTTAAGATATGCATGATTTAACACAGCTGATCTATAAAATATGGCAATCATATAGATAGATGAGTGTTAATACATAAATTCAATAGACTATCAGAAACCTTAACTAATCATGGCTGGCTTCGGAGCGAATATTGCTGATGCTTTTATAGACAATGCTGCTGATCGTTTTGTTAACAATTTTATTCCAGGAAATGGTAAGATCGTGTATGTTGAATACATTTGATATTGAATAGTTTATTTAGGTTATCTGAGTAGCGTCGCTCAAACGGGTGTGGATCAATGGCTCAATAACGATATCAATAGTCGTTTTGGTGGAGGACTAGGCTCAACATACGGATACGATTATTCAGGTGGTAATTACGGAGGATTTGGTGGTGGATTTGGTCGCGGATTTGGTGGTGGATAGGGTGGTGGATGGTAATAAAATTGTTGAATACAAAAGATACTACCTTTGCTTTATGTCTACAAATAAAGAACTTGCACTGATTTCTCTTAGAAATAATATTTGTTTATGTATTTCGAAATATGTACGCTGTTCTGGTCGATTGCAAGGCTTCGGGAGTCTTTGATTTATTGTCTTGGAGATATTGTTAATCATTTCATTCTGATAGATCACGATTTTTTAAAATCTAATCCAGCCATCTTTTCATCCATGATTTCATATAGAAAAAAAGCAATAATGAATTAATTCTATTGAAAATGTGCAATACAATCGTATGAAAAGGTCGCCACTCACACTCTAGCAGGTTGTATTAATTGAATCTTAAAGAGTACCGATGTATACATACCGCCTATCCAAACCATACAAGAATTGACAAGATTTCGAAGTAACTTTTTAATCCAATCTATAACGCAATAGAGAAGCATGCGGTTTAAATTGCTGGAAGCGAAGTTAACGTCGTTTAATTCAAGGTAAATAAACTATGTAGCCAAACTTTAGAAGATAATGATTCCATTTTTTTTCGGCATGTGTTGTTTCCTATTTGATTTAATAATAGCTTAAGCGTATAATATCAAATTTGTACAACTGCAATACTATCGATAACGTAAAGAAAGAAAGAACGTTAGTGCTTTATTATGTATATCGGTCAGAGCTCCTCGTGGGATGAGATGGGAAGAAAAAAAGTCGTCTCGTAGGATAGATCGGAACATTTTTTCCCATGGTATGGAACAGAAGACTTTCCCATGCCATAGGGTATCTCAATTATCATATATCCCATAAGACGTCAAATTTATCCGAATGTTTATCGAGCTTGAAACTATGACGCTATATTATCTCATTGCATAATCATAATTTTATTATTGTCAAGTTCACAATTCTTTTTTTTTACTCTCCCAATAGACACAAAATATGCATGAAAAGTTATTATTGTACATCATTGTACAAGCTTCATATTTTCCATAAGCCGAATGAATAGGTATATTATTGACTTTTTCAGGATCTACTACTGTTCGGCGCTCATTGATGATGAAGTTGGTACCACTTAACTATCGTTCTACGGCAACCGGTGAAGGTGGGATGGAAGTGAACAAAGACCTATACCCACACACCCACACACGCGTTTGTAGTTTTCAGAAAAAATTATGATTACTGACAGTGACTAAATATTTATATAAAGGTACAAATATCGTGCGCTACTATGCATGATACAGCATAAATAGAAATAACTACACTCCGACCCTTATAGCCACGGCCAGATTTGTCCGCACCCTCAAGATCGAATAACTCGATATCTCTGATGAGAATATTGATCTGTCTTAGCCAAAAACTTAAATAGGAAACAAGATAATAAAAATTTGTTTATTTTAGTTTGTTATGTAGTGCAAATAATTATGGCGAAGAAGGAAATTGATAGAGAAAAACAATAGAACAGAAAATAAATAAATATGGAGAAAGTCTTCGTTGGAAACTGGAATTATTATTATTGAGTGCATCTGCAATTTTGATTAACATCGATTTATAACGAGCATCAATACCACTTTGTATGTCGGTTTCTATGCGATTCATAACATAGGCAAATGAAAAGTTTTTTGCTGGTGCAGCAAAACCAACACTTCCGCCAGCTCCTAAAATTATAGATCACAAAATAATTTTAATTGAAAAATAATAAAATTTACCAATATGACCAAATATTCCAGGAGCCAAAGGTGGAAAATTTTGATCCATAAGTAAAAAGCCCATACCAAATTGAGTTGGAAGTTGTGATGTTAAATCTATTTCATTTTCGGGTGTATTTGACTTTATTGCTATTTTTAAGATTTGTTCATTTAATAATCGTTTGTATTTAAAGTCATCGACGTCACTCATAAGAGATGCATAAAGTTTTGCTACAGATCGAGCATTTGTTATTCCATTGGCAGCAGGAATTTCTGCCTGATGTGCGCTCGGATTATTGAATGCAATGTAAGTATCGAGAGAAGATTGGCTTTCATTCGTTTGCAAATATAATGGCGAGACACGATGTTCTTCTTCTGGTGGTAAACCAATATAAAATTCGATATTTAACGGTTTAGCAATTTCATCACGGATAAACTCTCCTAAAGTTCTGCCCTTGGGGTCTACACGTCGAACAAGTTCACCAGCTAACCACCCATAGGTCACCGTATGATAACCATGAGCTGTGCCTGGTGGCCATAGTGGGTTTTGTTGCTCTAATTTATTTACCATCGTTGTCTAATTAAGATAGTGTTCAAATGGTGAGAAATCAAGGGGTAGCCCAGAACGATGCGAAAGAATATCAGCAACAGTTGTATTTTCTTTCCCATTTTGACCATATTCAGGCCAATATGTCGTTACTAATGCTGAATAATCCAGGAGACCTCGCTGAACACAAAGTGCAACAGCTACAGCTACTAATCCTTTCGATGTTGAAAATACTAATTGTAATGTATTATTATCAAAGGGTTCCGATTTTCTATCATTAAACCACCCACCCCATAAATCGACCACTAATTTTCCTTGATGATAAATTGCTACGGATGCTCCTAAATCTCGTTGTTCTATGAAATTTTCTTGAAAAAGTTCTCGAACAAAATGCCAACCATCGGCAGTGGAACCATAGATAGGAAAGTCGACATTTTCTTTAGTAATACTTTTTATGATAAGTAAAGACCATATACAAATGTAATAAAGCAGCATGATGCTCGCTTTCGATGGGATTACAAAGTGAATGACAAAAAAGAAGAATAAGAGATTAATGATGGATTAGTTATATCTTTCAGTTTCTTATCAAAAAACACACGAACAATTGTTCTGAATAGAATTTATTTCTATGGCCTGGTTCTTTGTGTGTGTGCACGGTAGAAAATTGAGAGATTTATATGGATTTAACAGGCAATATTGCACAAACTTGTATGATGAATGACAGTCACATAAAACAGTTCGTCGTATAAAATATAACGGAGGAAATTTATTTTCTGAAAGTGGGTGTGGGTGTCCATTGTAAGAGAACATCCTCACCAGAGTGACCAGATCAAAAATTGAAAAACCAGAAAATATTTTTTCAAAATCAGAAACTCGTTCACAAAAACGAGCAAAACTAAATCAAATACATTCTGCGTCGATTAAGAAGTCCAACGAGAAAAAAAAAACGTTAAGTGCCATCATCTCGGTATCGTTATTCATATTTCGTATCTTTTGGAATTTGCTCTAAGAAGTTTGTTTAAGATAACGTATTCTAATAAAACCTTCTCAAGAATAGTTACCATTCATTTTTATTTCAAGTTAATCATTATCTGGTTTTATATTATCGAATTACGATATGGTGCCCATTGAGCGAAGAGATATTCGCTGAAAATGTTTTTCGTTGTTATAATTTTCGCGCTTTTTTTTCGCTGAAAATACATTTCGCTACTTTTATTTTCGCTCAATGGACACCATATCCCGTGGCAAAGCAGGATCTGAATATATTCCAAATTCAGGAAAAAATCAGAAACATGTTCAAAATCCAGAAATTTTCCCTATTTTTCAGAAGATCTGACCACTCTGTCACAGACTCACACCCACACCTCCAACTTTGCAATTTTAAATCTATTATAGTCATACAACGAAAAATATACTTATCAACAAACAGAAAAATGTAATAATTTAATGTTATTGAAGTCATACATGAAGTATTCTGGCATCAACAAATTCTCGAAGATTCTCCATTCGATATGCACGTTCACAATGGCTCGGAAGATCACGCATTTTCGACTCCGGTTCATTTTCACCAGTCAAACACTCATGCAAAATGATAAAATTCAATTTTGGAAGAACATTTATTAGTATATGTAATGCTTTAGGAACTTGACTACTATTATGACAGTTTAACTTGATAATTTTCCAGGTGTGGCAATTGTTTCACAATTAAAGAAGCCATACCTATCATATCTGGATACTCCCAATCCGTATAAAAATGTAGTTTTTTTTAAATCCATTTGACATGAGTATATTCCATAAAGAAGTATCATTGAAAAGCTTGATTAAATTTGCTTGTTTCTTCCATCCTATAAATCATAATCGAAGTGATAAAAAAGATTTAGCGTTCGTAAATGAATCATTTTTGATAAGAGCAACCATAGTTAGCATAAATCGAATGGATGATCCATTGTAAGCGAATCAATTTGATCACTAGAAACAATCGTTACTAGGTAAGAGAGAAATTCGTCATTGATTTGAGAACATTTACCATCCACTGTTATATAATTGATACATGCCAGACGATTGTTCAAAGCTGTTGATAAAGTATGTGATCAGTAATTTCGTCTAAATAATTTAGAAAAATCAAATTTTATAAGCAAATGAAATTTATACATACGCGTGAACAATGTTTGTGTTTAAATATTTATAAGCACATAAAGATGGGCCCTTTCGTGGTAACGTGAGAGCTTTAATAGAATAGCCATCGTTTAGATAAACATAATTCTAATTCGATTAGTATTCGTCCTCTCATTTGTTGCAATGCATTTAACAAAATACTGCTTGTGTTCGATAATGATATCGCAGTTTTCACAATCCATCTAACAATGCATGCATATGAACACACTGATGACAAAGCATTGACAATAACTTGGAAACAACATTAGGCTCAGTTACAAGCCCTGCTAATGTGAATTTTGTCAATGAAAATAAAACAACATGATCAAATAGCTCCGTCGCATTAATATCATATTTTTATGTTATTTTACGACGACTTAGATTAGGAACCGAACGTTTATCAGTACGAGAAACTTGACTGATATAGATTAATAAAAAATAATCTTTTTCTATTGCTCATTTACACCATATCATATAGTACCATTGTTCTATTTATATATAAAGTTTGTATTTTCATATTAAAAATGCGTCTCTTGATAATTTACCATCGATGAAAATTTAAAAAAAGACTTTCTATGCGACAATTTTCTATCACATCATCATGCATTGTATCATAGTCATAAAATAATGAACTTTTTACTTTACTCAGTTTTTTTCATCGTCTAATTGTGGCCAGTGATTTATCTACTGTATGGGCAGGGTGGGCGGCGCCCACCCGAAAATAAACAGTTGATTTCATAAAAGTAACGGGTGCCCCATAAAGAATGGTGGTCTCATTATTTACTCAATATCTTTTTTGCTCTTCATTGATTAAGATTGAGCATTCAATTCTCTACAAACTCATGTGTAAAATATTTTTTAAAACTACAAAACGACTAAGTACTAAAACGAAGAAAAAAGGTTAAAAAATCTTCAACTTTGAAGCTCAACAAACATTAACATTTGAGGTATGTTTCGACACTTTGTACGCAGGCTTAAGTTACGGGAGAAACATTTTCTGGTATTTTCAAGTACGCTCTTTTCTATATCTTCGAAAAACATTTCTTTGAAAGTGGTCTTCGCCTATTAAATCGATATTTGCTGAAAACTCGCCCGCAACGCCTTAATTTCGGTTTACAAAAAAGTCTACGGCAAACGAAACTTTGCATCACTCGAACAAGTGTACAGGGGTGTAGTCGAGTATGTTGGCTTTCAAAGGAAAAAAAATCGTTAAAAAATAACACTTTTTAAGTGAATGGGATGCGTTTTAGTGCAAGCATAGAAAACATGACATGACAGTTGTGTTTTTTAGAAAAAGTGAAAATATTGATGCAGAATTTTTTACTCATTTTCTAATGAAAAAAAAATTCGAAGGCATGAATCTTGCCCAGAATCTGATGCTCTTTAACATGGTAGACTGAGTTTTTTTTGTCGATCTTCACATGGAAAGCAAATTTTCAAAAACAAACGGATTTAGTGCTTGAAAGTTGAACATTTTTCGACCTTTTTTCTTCGTTTTAGTGCATAGCCATTTTGTAGTTTAAAAAATATTTTACACGTGAGTTTGTAGAGAATTGAATGCTCAATCTTTTGGGAAAATGTTCAGTTCAAATCAATGAAGAGCAAATAAGATATTGAGTAAATAATGAGACTGCCATTCTTTATGGGCCACCCGTTACTATGCGATAACAAATTTTCTAGCCAGCAGCCCCTCCAAAAATTTCAACCGCTCACCCGAAAAATGAAACCTAGATAAAACACTGGATACAAATACAAATAGTATAGATAATATTTAATTCTCATCAGATGAAGATGAGCAAGTTGAATGCATAGGCGTATGGGTGTAGATGGATATAATATTATTGCTTACTTCCACACCCGAACCCCACACCAATTATAATCTGTTAATATTTATATCAATTAATTTTTCTCAAATGAGTTTACTCAATCAATAATAATTACTAAATCATCGAGTATCTCAATTTCGATCTATTTTAGATTTGATTCAGTTTGAATATTCACATCTAAAGATAATCCTCCTGATATTGCAAAAGGATCGAAAATTGACGTACAATTGAAGACTTGAAAATATATATTTCGCTGCATTTCAATCCATTAGATTAAAAGAAAATGCTTTTGTTTAAATAAAATAGTATGATAAGAATATTCCTGTTGAATTTTATACACAGTTAATCAGAATTCTCAGTAAAATTTTGATTTCCAAATAGGTCTAGGGGTACATAAACCTCGTAAACCATTTACTGAGATGATTTATGAAGTGAGCAGAGCTCTGGCACTGCTGGTACATATGAGTGTCAATACCACGTTATGGCCACTCATACCGTAGCCCCCACTCGCTAAATAATGCAACGCGTGGTCAAATTTTGAAGATAGAACTGCAGATTATATGAGCAAGCAAAAATGAGAGAGAAAAAATTAACAAGTTTGTTTGTAAGATTGAGCGCCCTCATGTCTTTTATTAGTTTATTTTATCTATCTATCGATGTTTTATTCTTCTTTAATAAGTATTTCATTTCTTGCTGTTGTACTGTTCAATGAAGTACAATGGGCGAATACTAGTGGTAACGGCAAATCCCCAGATGATTTAACTGAAGATCCTAATCTTGGAGTTTTTCCACCTCGTCCAGGCGAGGCGGGCTCACAAATACCTCCGAATTGGCAATGGAAACGAGTGTTAGTCGATGATTTATCTAGTCATAATCCTGAAATAAAAAGACGAGCGGAACAATTATTTCAAGAGAATACAATATATTCGATTTTGTCTAATGAAGAAAATCGAGCAAGAAATGACTACGAATCGAAAGAACAAGAACATATTCGAAACAAACAAATTCAATACAATGAAAATATGAAAGACGAATGGAAGAAAAATCGAATGGATTCATTACCAAGCAAATGTATACTTTCACGACGATAACTATTTTTGTCTAATTATTCTTTAACTTTAAGATCAGTAAATAGTTTCTCGTTTTTTTCGCAGTTCTGTAAAAATGTGCTATTTGTTTATATGAAATATAATCGATTCCAAGAATTTCAGTGCAGAATATATATTGGATGTGGATACAAGAAGAACACAAATCTTCTGAGAAAAAGATGTATAAAACAGATGTTACACAAAGACAGAACCATTGCTGTACATTCAAAATAGACTTATGAAGTCATCGAGTATAATCATTTGAATCGCTGAAGATTGTAGCTTCTAATCCCTTTCCTTTGAAGAAGTCAGTTTACCAAAACTTACTTTAAGCGACATAATGACTTTTTGTGTACTCAAAAAGTGAGTACACTAGAATCGGTCAGTGTGTCCGGCCGGCCGGTCGTAGGCACGATAACTTTCGAAAGGAGAGTCAGATCGTGATGAAATTTTCCACACAGTTCAATCTCATGAATATCTCGGTCGAGTTCGAAGATGAGAAGAATCCCTCAAGAAATGGTTGAGTTATCGAAAAAATTGTCATTTTTGGCCAGACCATCTCTGAGGAGGGGTACAGGGATTTTTTTTCAAAAAAAAACTTTTCTCAGAATTATTCACAACATATATAAATCGACTCAGTTTTTAACGCTGATTCCGAATCTGATATTAGTTTTGAACTAAACCGTAGCTTTCTAACGAAACATCGCCTGAGAAACGTCTCAAAATGCACAAAAACTGCATCCAGAAACCAAATTGCCTAGTTTCTCATGATAATTTTGATGTTCAGACATTCTAGAATGACTCGTATGTCCCATGCACTTTTTGCAGTACACATAACTCTCGGATGAAACCGAAGTTTCCACATTTATTTTTAGAAACAGCAGATATCTACAATGAGCTATAAAAGTTATGCCTACTTGTGTTGCAATAGATCATTCAATTATCTTATGAAATATAACAAAAACGATAGAAACTGACGCAATTTATAAGTCTTTTACAGTTTATTTTCGGTATTGTTTATACAATCAGATTTTCAATTGAGATACATCACACTGAATTTGTTGTATCTTAAATATAGTATCGTATTCTCTAAAAAATTTTAAAAAATTTTAGAAAAAAAAATAGTGGGCCTGGGTTAGCAGCCCGATATGGATAAGAGTCTATGATAAAAAATCCCACTTCGTTATTGAATAGTTCTTCAATTGTCTCCGTGTTTCGGTACTCAAAGCTGGCCTCTATCTAATTTGATGCAACTCGTTGACATATGTTGGAAGAAATATAGTATCACTTAATTTACCAAAAAAACAAAAGAAAATTATTTCAGTTCTGAAGCGACGCGCTGAATATATTTGTCGGTTTTAATTACTTTTGGATGTGTAGGCGATAAAGCCTGATGATAGATAAGAGCTGCTCTTTGATAATTCTCCAGTGCGTCAGTCCATCTTCTCATGAAATCAAATAGTAGGCCGATTTTTTGATAACTGGCAGCAATATCTGGATGTAGAGGAGGTAGTGATTTTTCGCGGATATCAAGCGATTTTTTGTAAAATTCCATGGCTAATGAATACTGCGAAAGACGACGATGAATATCACCTATGCTGCTGTAGTTCATAGCCATATTTGGATGATTAGCAGGTAGATGTCTATCTTGAATAGCCAACGACTGTTTATAGTAGTTCATTGCGTCTGAGTATTCTTTTTTCGAATAGTGTATACAAGCGAGGCCATGATACACATAAGCTATATCTGGATGATTTGCGACATTATCACGCTGGTAGCGTTCCTTAGATTTTTCATAAAATTTCTTTGCTTCTGTATAGTCACGCTTTTCAAGGTGAATATTCCCGATGGAACAGTAAAGACCACCAATACTGGCATGGTCATTTGGATCTGTATGCATTTTATTGTCTAATGCCTTTTGAAACCATCGTAGACTACGATTGAAATCATTACTTTCTCTATATGACAGGCCAAGTGAGAAACATAAGGAGGGAAATGAAGTATCATTGGATGAACATGTTTTGCGCAAATCCGAATATACTTTCTTTGCTAAATCATATTTTCCCATACGATGCAAAACATCACCGTAGGATATAAGATCAACTTCTTCTTCGTCACCTCCATAATCTTTTTTCAAATGATAAAAAAGGTTCTTCAGATCATGTTCATCATCGCTTGCCAATTGCATTTCAATTATCCAGATGTTTTCGTTCTGCCTCCAATTAATTTTATTTATACGAAATATACATCCAACCATAAATAATATTTCACATTCTTGACTGAAGTAACTAAGCGAGCTGATGTCCGCGAATGGTTTCGATTTCACTAGACGAGCATTAGCGTCGATCACAAATAATATTCGATGTAAATCAGTTGAAGCTGTGGAATGATCCGCGTATCTTAATGCTATATCAGCACGAGCGCTGGTGGAAAAAAACGAATTAATCGAAATAAAATGGCCAATGGATCGTTGAAGAGTCTTCAGTTCATCTTGAGACATTGACTGATAGCGATACGCACGAATCTTCTCGTGACATTGAGTTGTCTTCAGTTGTTGATAAATATCGCGAATTAGAAAACGAAGTAAAAATAATAGTTCAGTGTTTTGAGTCCGCAAAGCTTTATTCAGCATGTTGTATAAAAATGAATCACGTGTATACCACCACAGAGCTTTTCTGGCGATATAGTCACATTCAAACTCGCGGATAATCGATATTTGAGGATCGTTGCCATGATATTCTTCAATGCAGCGTGTAATCAGTTTCTGTTTATCACTTTCATTAAATTTCACTCGAATAAGAACATCAATTAATAATAGAAAATGAATAAAACGACCATTGAGTTCAGTTGTTGATTGGTTTTCATCAATATTAACATTATAAATATTCATAGACATTGGTTCATCCAGTTTTCCTCGATATATATGATGTGCTTTGATTTCACGAATGAGCTCGTCAATTTCAACAAACACACCTTTTACCTTTGAAGACATAAATACAGAAGAGTTGCAAATCGAAACAAAAAATATTTACTTTAGCGAATGAATCAGACCATTGTTTGTTTCTGTTTTTATCTTGGCAATAGACGTAAGCCGAGGAGAGTTGTATACAATGATGAATCTTAGGAACTAGCGCTCTGCCTAATCTGCCACTAACGATAAGAACGATTCGATCTTGCTCAGAACGAGATGTGATATATTTTTGGCATGCGACTTCATCATGAAATGTGATGAGACGATTGATGATTGCACGGAGTTGTTGTTGGGAACGTTTGTTTTCTTCAGTTGCATCAATATTTGCATCAAGCCAAATAAGAGAAAATGTTTCCAAATTATCATCGTGTATCGCACCGGATGTATTTCTCGCTGCAATCATCTTTACATGAATAGCAATATTCGAATAAAATTGTTCGATATAAGCACACTAGTCGTTTTAATTTACTATTAAAAATCGGAGAATGTGTCAACAAAATGGTAATATGGTGGGTTCTACCTTTTCATTTTGTTTTTTTTTTCTTTTTTATGTATAGGTAATGACGATGGATTCTTAATGGGAAATTATTCATGCATGAAACATACAGACAAGCAAAATATGCATATTTTCAATGATCAATTTAATGATAAGTTTGATTTGTTGCTCATGATTCACCGATACGTTATTATTAAAGAACTCCACAGTTAAATGTAAACAAACGAAAATTTGCGCGTGTTAGTATTCGCTTTCTGTTCTTGTATACATGTTTATTTCATTTCTAAAAGACTAATTCGCCTGTTCTTTAGTAGGTCCTCAGCTTTTATAATGTTCATCTTATTGTTTTTGTTTTGTAAAGTCAATCTTTAAGAAAAGTCAAGCATCTCTTTTGTTTTTACAAACAAATTTATTATCATCCAACATAGTTAAATTTATGGATGAATAGGTCAAACAAATACTTCGAAAGTGTGCATATGAAAATTACTATGGAGTCTAGATTAGATTGCACTTATTTCGAGATTGTAAGAAGCACATCATATTTACGCATACATTTGCACATTGAATAACATGGAGAGAACATCAATGCATGTCTTTGTACGTAATTGTTGTGAATTCATGGAAAAAAAAACGAATGCATTGAACATTTAGTAAAGGTATCAAGAAATCGATTTCCTCCTTTGTACAAGATAAAGTTTTCTAAGATTCTAACAAAACCAAGGAGTAGGAAAACACTGTAGCACAGAATAATCACTGAGTAGGGAAGAAGAGACAATACTTGGATTGATAGACAGCTTCTGTGCATTTTCTGCTCATCGTCGAAAAGCTTTCTCAGGCTGACTCAGCTACATGTATTGTCAACTTTCGTTGATGGCTTGACCATTGAGTCAGATCATCGGATAAAATCTATAGGCAAGAAAATAATTGTAATATTTGTCATCGTTAAAGCTAGGGGTGTCACATTTAAATTTAAAAAAAATTATTAAATCGGGAAATAAATTTTAATTCAAGAAATTTAAATTTAATTAAATTTTAAATTTTGTATCATTTAAATTTAACTAACTTTAAATTAAATTGTTTGAAATTCAAATTAGTTAAATTTTGAAAACTAGCAGATAAAAATAGTTTTTGACTTGATTGCTACTATTTAAAGTCAAATTTGAGTATGTTTCCTGTTTTCTAAAGTTAAAACTAGTCATTCTTCTATGAATTGTGCTGTTAAATATATTTTTATGAGTATCCCAGTATTCTGACGAACAAAGCTGACGGATCCTGATTAATCTGTAGAGAAATTTTGACTATTATGAATAAATATTAACTTAAAATACTAGGTTTTCCTCTCATTTAGTATTTACTACTGTTAAAGTCACGTATTTCTCTCGTAGCAATCATGTGTATCCATCCAAACAGTTTATTAAATTTAAAATTTAACTTGATAGAATTTAATTTAAAATTAAATTAACTTTTCATGAAGTTATATTTAAATTAAATAAACTGTAAATTGACACCCCTAGTTAAAACTCTTTGTTCACTTTTCATTGCATATAGGTTGAAGATGTTCAGATTTGTGAAAGTTAATTAATATCTTCAGAAGAAAAACTTTTCATTCATCTATGGACTCAAATAGAATCTACATCGTTTTTGAGAAACCTATGGGAAAATTCATGTACTATTCATAAATTTTTTTCTTTGATGGCTAGGCTAAAACTGTTATTTAATAGGTTGGCAATGCTGTCTTGATATAATGAAAAGAAACAAAGCTGTCAAAGTTATTTATTTCACTCATAGGCTTCTGGAGAAGTACGTGCGATTTTTCAGTCAATTGTTTGAGAACAGACTCGATTACTGACGGGGCAAAAGCTAAGTCGCCAATACTTCGCTCCATTGTTTTTATTTCTTAATGTCATTTTTAAAGAGGAAAGAAAGACTGTTGCACATGTATTTCCAGTTAGTTTATATAAAACAACACCTCGCACGGACGACTACGTCCCGTAGATAAGATACGAAATGTGAATCATGATTTTAACGAATGAAAGAGCGATCGTTTTTTTAATCAACTAAGACAACTTATAGAATGGTAATACGAAAGTACTGTTAATATTCCTGTATCAACTGAAATATAAAATAGTAAGAAATTGTTATTTTGTATCTCAGAGGTTACTCTGAGAATTTTCTATTTCATTTTTATTAAGTGCAATGATTTATTAAATATTAGCTACACAATTCAACGATTTATCGATCACTTACTCAACATATAGTTATACAAAGTAGAATAAGGCAGCAGTGAGCAGATTTCCAAAACAAGAAATTTCCTAGCTAAATATGCATATCTCGGAAACTACACGGATGAAAAATTAAGCTTTTAGAAAATATCAGAAACTTTCGTAATTATCGAAATTACTAGAAATTCCTCTGATTCTTGAGGGTAGGATCTTCAAATCTCGATACATATTTTTTCTGAAGCCTATGCGGTATGAATATAGTAATTATAGTATTTTCCGAAATTGACGGAAAATTTCTTTTTGAATATGAAGCTGACTTCTGAAATTCTCCGGATGTTTTGCTGGTTGATTTTTGAAATTATGGCCATTTCTGAGAATTTTCTTTTTCACGTAATGGCAATTTCTGAAGTTTCAAGGAAATTTCTGTTGGCACGGTTGTGTGTCTTTTATTATTTTGAGAGAAATTTGGTGCTTTCGGAAATCTGAACATACCTCAAATAAGGATACTGTACAATCATGTGTTCATCTCTGCACCTAATTGTTATTTCTCCAAGAAAAATTCACAAACTATTAGTAGACGTAGAAACGTTCGACTTTGTCGATAATCTAGTTCTTTATTTTCATCTTTTCGAATCAGTCAGTATTGGCTGCAAAAAATTCGAAATTTTATTACGTTTACGTTCAATATTCTAGTCAACATGAAGTCGATATAAAATAATGATTAGATAACTGATTTTACAGATGACACAACTGAATATCAGAATCTTTTGCGCATGATAATCTGTCAAGTACCGATTGTTTTTATTCAGTAAAAAGATTAGAATGAAAGACTATGCAAAACAACAATGATAGCGAAGTAATTCTATTATCATAATACGGTAAATTTCCATTTGAATATACTTTTGCAACAGAGATATATCAAAGATCAGATATGTTTTTGGTCAGAACAATTGGTTGTATCGATTGATGGAGAAAAGCATGAACGATGCTATCCTTTATTATTACGAAACAACATTTATGAAGTCTCTAGAGCAAGAATTTCTTAAGCTCGACTGCGCAGCGTTGTAACAATCAGCAACAACAGAATGCAAAAGAAACGACCGCGAAAAAGTAATATCAGTACCACATTTCTTTTGTTATTTCTTTCTTGAGAGCAAGCAAACGAAGGAAGAAAGAAAAAAAAGCGCAGCCTTCATATTAGTAACTCAAACACACATGCCTTGTTTATTCTGTATTCTCCTTTTATTTATTTTCTTAGATATTTTTATTATTTACAACGAATCTTTGATTTTTCTGCTATATAAGATTGGTAGTGTGTCTTATTGATGACGTCTTCACCTATGTCCAAAACGAATCAGTCCACAAACTCTTTATCATATTCATCCGATCATTGGGCGTTACAACCTTATTCTTTAACTAATTCTAACGTGATTGCACTCGCTTATTTTGAACAATCGGATTATGCCGTCTGCATTCATCCCGAAGACAAACGTGGCTATCGTTCAATTATACGATTGATCAAGAACGACCAAATGATATCTACTATCAATCGAGAATATACTTCATCAGAACGAATTGGTCTTGCGCTAGTCATGGCATTGGTTACAGAGGCGTACACTCGTATTTTGCCAATCGCTCAAAATGCCGTTTTGGGTAACAATGCTCACTCGTTTGATCCAAAAACTAGTACTATCCAGCTAGGTACCTCGGAAGAACCGATTTTTCTTCATGGCCATGTGTTTGGGCGAGGTAATCCAAAAGAACACTATATTGAAAACATTCCATTGGATGGTCCTATTCCAGGAATGATTTTTGATCTAAGGGCTCAGTCTCCACATGAACCAGGCAATGATAAAAGCGTGAGTTGGACACCAGACGAAATAAACAAAGTAGTTCATCGATTGAAAGCTGAAATTGATCAAATTCATAACACATATAAAGCTCATGGTTTGACAGTCATTACTCAAAATCGTTTCGTAGATATCTACATGGTAAGACATGGTGAAACGGATTGGAATACTGCAAACAAAATTCAAGGACACACAGATACTCAATTAAATACAAAGGGAAAATTACAAGCGCAACAACTTCAAGAGAAATTCGCCGGCATCGATTTTACCAAAGTAGTGTCGTCCGATCTAATACGAGCTCGTTTAACCGCAGAACTATTTCTTGGTCCTGACAAATCAACCATGATCGAAACGTCGCCTCTACTACGAGAGAGATATTTTGGAATATGGGAAGGACGTTCGTTTGTTGAATTCAAATCTCACGTCGACCAAACTGTTAATCTTGATAATATGACACAAGAAGAATATGTCTCTTTCAAATGGCACGATACTATTGAAAGCTATTTTGATGTATATGAACGAATCAAAACTGTAATCCGTTCCATTTTGATTTCTTCATCGGCGAGTGAGGGTCCTGTTTTACTTTTAAGTCATGGTTGTGTCATGCGAGCCATTCTATATAGTTTAAAATTTCAGTCTGGATATCGTTGGGAAGTAGATAATGGTGCTTCTCTAAAACTGAGAGTACATGCAGATGGACAAATCCTCCTCGCGGCTTGTGAAGGTGTCAAGATGCACAAGTCAAACGAGATATTCTTCTCATTTTGAGCTGCTACATCCAAACAATGCAATAATAAGAACACAGACAGTGCGATAAAAAGAGCAGAAAGTGGCTGTTTTTAAAATTCATCAAGTTTTGATAATGGATAAAAAAAAAATTTATTCAAATAATGATTTGCAGATGAAGTCATATTAAAAATATTTTACAAATTTATTAATATATTTTTTTTCAATGCTGTTTTATTTTACTTGTAGGAGTTATAAAATAATTAATGCTACTCGTCTTACTCATGTCATGAATATGATTCAGATCATTAGAAGTAAGTGGTTGCAGCTTTATATCCGAAGACAGATGAGAAATGACTTTTAGTCTCATCCTCAAATCCCTATAATTAGACACACACCAACTTCAGATCTATTCTAATTGAACTTCTAGATTTGCTGCATCTCTACTCATAACCGCGATATCTGTCCAATACCTTTATGATTTATAAGAATGCAAGAATAAAATTCAAGCGAATTGTTTATTTTCAGCAAGCATCGAGTAAACAAAACTATCTAAAGCATTTTCAGGCAGAAAGATTATCGATATTTATGTAGAATATTTTGTTGTATCATTCGTTCATAATCTTGCTCGCGTAATCCGAGTAAAATATTGATTGAGCCATCTTTCTTATGCGTATCCATCATCGGAAAATATCTTGGATAGAGTTGCTGAGTTGGCCCGCTGTAGACAGGAAATCCTGAATTACCAAAATTAGGATCTAACAAATTTTCTTTTCGCCATGATCCACAATACACATCTCGGTTAATTATATCGGCATCTACTCGACTTTTTTGTATATCTCCATCGCCACTCATTAAATAAGCATTATAATCTCGTATGGAATGCTCAGTCTGTTTGGAATGCATTTCATGTATTAATTGTGCTAATGATGAAAGAGTTGGCTCTCTTTCTGACGGTATTTCGGCATAGAGCCAAAATGGAAATGAGCCAAAATAGTTAAGAACAGCTGATGAACAAGAAGAAACGAAGCGCGGTCGACCGTTCAATGATTGCAGGACTTTGATATTGTCTTTCAATGAAGTTTGAGTGGCTGCTGCGATTACTAAAATCAAATGAGCGAAAAGTGCATCGTAGGTACTGATGTAATCAATTGATTCTGATAGCCCTTTTGATGCTTCGTTTTTAAGATTTTTCAGCTCGTTGGCAGAGAAAAAATAAACTTTGCAGATAACGCGTTGTTGTTGTTGAACTTCAAGGAATGCTGAACTAGAAGATAGATTGAAGTCTCGATTGAAAACACAGTTCTTTGGCCGAGTCAACAAATTGATCCTTTGTCGTTGTTGTTCTGTAGGATACAAGACGAACGTTTTGTCGAACATTGGCAGCGCTTTCGGAGGCTTATTAGAAGCCCACGTATTTATGAAACGCGACATGCTTTGTGCATCCATTAAACAATGAAAAGCTGATATATTTAGAATAACACTATTACATTTCAGACGTGTTACTTGTATCGATGTGCAAGGTCCTGTCCAATCGTTGCTTACTTTTACTGCTAAATCACTTGTATTAATATGTTCATAATCGAATTCTTCGTCCTGTGGCATTCTTGGTATAAAATAGTCTAAAGTATGATTTGGACATGTTGCTTCAGTAAAAATAACACCTTCATTTGTCAAGTGAATAGTAGCATTTCCTTTTGCATCTTCTGTGATACGACCAGCTAATATAGGAAAATAATTTAGAGCATCCGATAGAGTAGTTTTTAAGTGTTCTGTTGGCAAAAAATCTGCTTTTGACAAATTTTCAGAATTCGAATAGACCCAAATCATACTGATTGGATATTGCTTTGTATTTGATTCAACGGCCATACATGTTATGCAGTCATCAGTTTTCGTTGGATTTGAACATTTGATAGTGATCGTATTCTGTTTGATGATATCAGCCATAGTTAACAGTTATATCTGAAAAAAAATAGAATCAACGTCATTATATAATAACCCTGTACTAGTGTGTCGCAATTCTATGTTGTCCTTACGAAAGAACAGAAAAAGAGCTTCTATCAGATTTATGTGAGAGGAAAGGGTAAATGACAATTGTGATTTGATAGTATGAGTAAGAGAAAAGCAACTAAGTATTGATGATAACGTTTTTTTTTTCAAGTCTCTTCTATTTATTATTACACAAAGATGGGCTTACAAAGAAGAAATGATAAGGGCGTAAGGTTTTCTGTGTTAGCATACAGTATACTTACGATTTAACCATAAATACAGTAGCTATATTCGAAACGAATACAAAATATGAAGAATGAAGAATCGTGAAAGAAAATGTAAAAAAGATGAGACTGAGAAATACTGACCAATGAGAGTAGACAAAGAACACATCGGCAACAATACCACAAATCATTTTAAAGATGAGGGCGACACCTGCTAGACATCCATCATTGATTCTTTCAATATGCAATGAAGAGGCTAATTGTTAAGGCACTCCTTTGCCTTCATGTATCGTTGTTGAGCATTAACGGCAATATCCATTTCAGTTGCTGAAAATTACAAGTTTAAACAGATTCGTACACTTGTTAGTACAAATTGCGAATAGTATATTTAAAGATATTTCTCGAAAGGATGCAGTTTCATAATAGTAAGTCATCGTAAATAATCGTTCTTGTGAGAACATGATTCAAATAGTGATAATTCCAATCTACAGTGGTGTGCAAAAATAATTGCCGTTATTGTTTGATAAAGTTACTCTACTGAACATGCGAAGATTATACATACACAAGAGTACACAAATATAATAATCGGTAGTTAGCTTTTTTTTCCTTCAGCCAAAAAAAGCACTAAACACTGTAGCTTCATTGCTACACTCAAATAGCTTAAGATCGCTTTGCCTATGCACATGGATTATGTGCTAGCCTAAAATGTGTGTTTGGAGAAACGTGGAAGAAGCTATGCGTCTCCTTTTGGATCAAGATCCAGTAGCCAAAGTTTCAGCTCGATACGATGTGTTCTCAATTTTTAAAGCGGGGAAGAAATGCAGCACAATCTTCTCAAATGTTGACTTCTATTTGACGCTGAAGATGAATTTTCAGAATTTGTTCACGTGGGGCAAAATTTTATCTATTAGTCGATGTCTGCCTGCTATCGAAATTTTAAGTCGGTCAGACAAGTCATTGTCGAGATAGTTAGAAAATTTGGTCCGATCGCCATTTTTTCTGGCAATTCTACACACCGTAATCCTCCGTTTGTTATTACAATGCCGTGTCGTTGTACCTCATTTGTATTTCGTTAGGTAGAGTTTCTTTGAGAAGACGATTTTCGTAGCGCTACGATCGCCCTAGTCGTGGTAGTGTAATATGACTGTTTGATATTCTAGAAAAGTGGTAGATACTCGAATCATGATGTCTCTCGCTCTACTGAACGACACTTTTTGAGGAGTGTCGCTCTGATTAAAATCTATAGCACATCCTTAATCACTGATAAAAGTTTCAGAAGAATCCGTTCATGCGCTTCACATATATGACTCGAGAAAATGCGTAGGTGCAACGGTAATTTTTTTGCACTTCACTGTATTACATGATGCATCAAAGAATATCAGCGGTTGTTGAAGTAGAAAAAACCTACAACTTTCACCGCTGTCCTCAATCAATAAGCTAGAGAGCGAAATTTTTCAGTGATTTGAAATTAGAACAGGTAAGCTAGTTGGGTATTTTCATTGTTAAGGAAATTGTTCAATTTTGATATACGTATGTTCATACATATCATAATATTGTTAGAATGGGTATCGAAATTTCCACGTCGTACTATCCATAGAATTCATTGTGATGTTTTACACTTAGGATAGCCCCTTCGATGTATAAATGAAAAAAAAAGCCGTGATTGACTGGGTATGATGGGAGTATCGAAGAGTTTCGTACATCAGAATTAATCATCATGCATAATTTCACTAGAAAAAAAAGAGCGCTTTTGATTAAACGATAATTTTCTAGTATCAATGGCTGATATTGAAGACATGGCAGAAAACAAAACAAAAATAAATGATGATGTCGACAAAGTAGCTGATGAACAACCACAACAGGCAACTATTGAATCAGCGATTACTGAAGAAACAATTGGCAAAGAACGTCAAAATGATACTATTACTAATATTCATACATTTGTCTTCGATATTTTAGCATTTTTTTCTAATGTTCAACCAAGTCTCATTGTTGAATATTGTCAAGAAACAAAAAATGTATGCAATCGATCTATGTTTCTTTTCTTGAGGGTAGAATTTCGATCGATTATTTATTTCAGTGGAATCAAATTCAACGTTTTCTGAATGATGAAAATGTTCATGTTTTACCTGTATTCTTTTGCGACTTTCAAGAAAGAACCCGTTTTAGTAAAAGATCAAGCATCAGTAACTATCTTTTAAAACAAAAAAACATTTTCTATGCCCAATAAAAACGATACTAATTCGTGTAGTTCTGCCACAATTGAACCAATCAGTTAAAAGTGATGAATCTTGTATTGGAGTATGTATTATTTGCATCTATCGGTTTACTTTTTTCATACAACAATCTTAGATCGGAATCGATAAATCATTTGAAGATGGGTGTGTGATTTTTATAAAACCAAATAAGATGCCACTGACTGAAAAAAATTTCAAGAATGTACGTTTGAAAACTAAAGAAAAATTTAATATTTCATTATGCACTCTAGGAATTAGTTCTTTTTTCTATGAATTTCGATCAACAAAATCTCGATCTAATGATAAATCTCGAAACAATCCTATTTAGTTATTTACCGTCAATAGAAAAAGCAGACGAATGGGATAAATTAAATCTATTCGATGAAAAAACTGCTCAAGTAAAATCGAACTTAATCTATCAAACCAAACGAACTGCTGATTTTTTTCTCACCATTCATCAATCATTCGTCGATTGTATTCAACTACAAAAAGTGCCTATGCGTTTAAGACACGATACACAAGAGATTATTAATCCAAATACATTGCTACGCTTTATTCAAGATACAGAACTAGTTCAACAAGCCGAAGAAACGATTATTGAATGGATGAAAGAGATTAACAGTGTATAGTTTGTATTGTTCAAATTTTGCTTTTCGAAAATTTCATGGATCTTTAGTTCTATCGAAAGCGAACATTAGTTCGACAGCTATCATCTGATTCCGGCCCCTTAGACGAAATCAAATATTGGAGAGAACAAGTTGTACAATTAAATCACATCATGAATCAACTTCGTCTGCCTTCGAATCGAGCTGTTATCTATCTACTTAATATTGCTGCAAGTGCACGTTCGCTGGTTTGCTGGAGAAATAATTATATCAAATGTTTATTAATACAAAAATTTTATTTTAAGGAGTGGAGAGAAATCGATAAGAAGTTAACACAAAGTATTAATGAAGCGCGTGATCATTATAAATTTTTAATGATTGTGGCTAAACATATTGGGCCACTCTATCGCAATGATCCGGTAAATTTATTTCGTTTTCAGGCGCCCTCAAAATAATTTTTCAAAATTTCCGATGCATTTGTTCGTTATAGAATTATTGACAAAACTCGTCATGCTTCTGTAAGGGAGAAAAAAAACTTGAGCGAGTGATTGGATGCATTTCATGAAAAACGCTTCTATGTCGTACCGACGCTGTCTGTTTTCAATTTTTCTACCGTATCTCAAGACGTTCCAACCATAATTCGCTTTACTCCATACGCGTGGGAATTCAAAGAAGTTGGATATTCTATTTATTTTAGCGTGAAATTCAAGAAACTCTCAACAGTCTTCTCAATACTATTGTTCTCATTAACTCGTGTTCGGAATTCTATTCTAAACCAGAGAAAATTGCTAGTCTACTTGTGTCTGTAAGTTTTCATATGAATCTATATTTCCATTGATTCTATTTCAACAGATAAGTAATCAAATGGTTATTTGTTGTAAAGATTATTTAACCAATGAACACACAATCGATATTCGAACACTTGACCGAGACGAGTTGTTGAAACGTATTGATTATATTCAAAGTTTACATCAAACATATCGAGACTTATTTTTAAAAACAAAACAAAAAATTGAAAATCACTATTTAAATAAAACCAATGATTACCTTTCAGAAAGCCATTTGCTTGGTCAATTTAGTTTTCTTAGTCAACGTTTGTCGAGAGTAATAATCTTTTGATTGCCAATATAAAAATGTATGTCTGACGCTTCTTTTATTAGCTTCGTGAAATAATCGAATCATTTGAAATCTATTCTCTTCTCTCAAAATCACGAATGGATGGTTTTGAACAAATAACTTCGGTGTATAATAAAATTCGAGCAGAATTTTTAACATTTAAATTTAATCTATTCGATCCGAATGATACACAATTTGATTTATTTTACAGCCAATTAAATCATACTCTTTGTGATATTGATGTATACAAATGAATATTTCTTTCTTTTGAATCATGTTTTTTTGCTTCTATCTTCTAGCAAAAACTCTATCAAATATTAGATAAAGATCTTCATCGTATACTTCACTCGCCTTCACATCATTCCTTTAATGCGTTAAAATTACTCGCACGTTACGAAAATTTACATATAAAATTTTTTGATTCGACCGAGTTTTTAATTGACATTATTCAATGGTACGAAAAAGAAGAACTTGAAGTAATAGAATAATGCAATTTAAATTCTATAGAACTCCATACATTTAGAAAGTTAAAATAATTTATAATCAATGTCGAACGACGCCACCAATCGAACGAGATCATCCTCCTATAATCGGTAATCAATATACGAAAAGAATTGCATATGAATTTTATTTTTAGGTCGACTCCTATGGGCAAGACGAATGTATCAACGCATTCGAATGGCCTATGTTGAATTCATTAAACGAGTTGAATTGAAAGATAATTTAATTATGAAAAAAATTACAGAAAATTTTCTTATGATTGCAAATGAATTTTCTATTTACGAACTTCTCTATCATCGACATTGGTTTGCTGACACAATTTCTCGTTCGACTGCCAGATTCATTGCTTTCATTTAGGTACAATACGTTATCTGATGTTGTCAATCTCATGTGTAATCCACTTCTTGTTCGACAAAATCTCATTCGACAGTTATATATTAATTATGATCCATTTATTGATGTTGTATTACGCGAATGTGAATTACTAGCACGATATTCAATTGCAATGCCAGATTTAGGATATAAATTGTTATTAGATAGAACGAGAATTCGATTTTATTACGAAAGATTAAAGGTATGTAAATAACGAAGAGCAAACTTTAAATGAATTTAACGTTTAGAAATTACTCAAAGATTTTTCCATCTTAATGGCTAAGGCACATCCGACAAGTTATGAATTGGTAGAAAAAGTGATGACACAAGTAAGAGAACTGAACAGTGAGAGTAACTTTTTCGGCAAGTTTTGTTCACTATAGAACAAACTCAAGGGTGACGAACAAGTAGAAGTTAAAATTCTGAATACGAATTATTCCCCATGAACAGCAGCGATATTTTATTTTCTCAATTTTAGTGTGTTGTAATAAGAAAAAGTGTTCTGTTGGACCGACTTTCTGGTAATCAAAATCGAGAAAGTAGAATTCGGATGAGTGAAATCAATCGAAATCGTTCATTGGAAAATACTTACCTACACAGGATTTATCGTATATTCAAAAGAGTAATTTTGTTCTTTAGGTGGATAGTACCCTTTCAATTGGTTTAAATAATCTGAATTGGCTATCAAAAAATTTAGATGAATTATTTCTGCCAGCTGAGGAAAAAATTTCTTTAATGTCGGATTTTCTCAGTCAAATATCATCATTAATTATTCATCGAATAGAAGAGCCGATTAATGAAGTATCACGTTTTGAAATCCTTGAATTTCCTGATGATTCAATTGATTTTAAACAATTTGTTCATGATATTCAGCAAGAAATTATATCGAAAGCGGAAAAACTCAATTCACTTTCAATGCAAATCGAATCAGCTGTTTTACATGTCATTCGAATGTTTTTTGATAAAGCTGGCTATAGATCAAAACCATTTGAACAGAAACTCGGAGATATTGGTGAACGAAGAAAAATATTAGTTAACATTTTTGAACTCTTTTTTTCTCGTCTGTACAGATCTGATGCAACTTTCAACAATGCAACGATTAACAATACAAATGTTTGTTCAAGATACAACAAAATCCGTGCGAAAAACAAGAAATCCAACTCAATTTATTCTTCCACCATCGAACGAATGGGAACGTTTTAATGAACTTTGTAATCGTTTCAAAAGATAAAATTAATATCTTTTGAACGTTTTTGTTTTTTGTTCGTTTAGGTAATGAATTTCTTAGTTCATTTGAAGCTCGTTTAATCGAAGCATTAACATTATGTGCTAAAAATACATTTGAAATGATTAAAATTCGAGCTAATCCAACGTTGTGGAATTAATTCTATGTTCCTATAGAGTTTTATAAGAATTTTTCTATTTAGAATTCAAATGAAACCTCGATTAAAAAAACTTCGACTGTATTCTCTTGATACCGTCGACGCAAATATCGACCGAAAAGACAATAGAAAACATCCATTAATATCAACACATATTGAATTACATTCTTCTATGATTATATTAAATCCAAGTATTGATGAAATTCAACAACTCATGCATCATTTAGTGAATTATGTTTTAAATATTTTTCATGGCGTACGGAAATGGGGTGAAGTACGACATGTTGATAGTAAACTTATACACAATTATCCAATGCATGATTTTTCGGATTTATTACCAACAAATGGCACTTTAGAAATAGACAAAATTCCTGATGAGAACGAAGAAAATTCCAGATATATTCAACAAGGTGAAAATAACTGAGATTAGAGATACGGAAAATCAGGCTCGGTTCCGGGACTGCAAAAAAACGTAAACCCGCACATCTCCAGTACATATAATCGTAATATTTACTTGGTTATATTGAAGAAATTTGATATGTTTCTTTTGTGTACTCAAAAGAATTGAGTACACTCTAGATTTGGTCAGTGTGTCCGGCCGGCCGTTAACACGATAACCTTTGAAAGCCTCATCTAATTGTCATGAAATTTTGTACACAGAATGATCTCATCAATATCTTAGTCGAGTTCGAAGATGAGAAGGATCCGTCAAGAAATGGCTGAGTTATCGAAAAAATTGTCAGTATTGATCAAGACCATCCCTGAGGGGGGAGGTACAGGGATTTTTTCAAAAAAAAATTTTTTTCTTAGAATTATTCACAACATATATAAATCGACTCAGCTTTTGCAGTACACATAGCAATCGGATGCGAATCCGATGTTTCCTCATTTATTTTCTATTCTCACTAGAATGTAAGTTTCTAGCTCTATGTTCAATCAGTGATTATACTTCAGCTAAATTCATGACTCAATGCAAGCTTTGGGTCAATTTTATTACTCAATATACTTTATTTCTAGCCAAAACGTATTATAATACGATAGCAAATAATAAAGAATTAACTAAATTATATCAAAATATTGGAACATTTTTTGTTGAAAATAGGATTCGGTAAGATTACTATTTTATCTTGATCAATATATTTTTATTTTGATATAAAATAGATTCGAAAAAGAATTAGAAGAATATTATGAATTTCGTGACTTATGGGAAATGAATAAGATAAATCAAGCGAAAAAATTCATTTTATCAAATCCTGCATATGCTTCTGTTCGTTCGATATTTGCTGATTTCGATGACACACGAGATTCGATCAAACGAATAAGCGAATCAAAAGATGTTGATCCATTGCGATATTTAACAACGAAATTGAAATCAAATTTGCTTGATGAAATTCGACAACTTGAATTAATATTTGCAAAATATATTCGAATACACTACCGAATGAAATTTTTGAGCATTAATGATTTTTTCAAGAAAACAGAGCCACGGTTAAATCGGCAATTAAGAGATCTCGACGATGTACGATTTGTTATTAATGCACTTGATACACTGAAAGAAAATTTCGTATCCGTTGACCATACAATTGAACCATTGGAGGTAAAATACTCGAAAATTTTTCGAAATAAATTCACTGAGAACTGCAAAAAAAGGCTAAACTTCTATCACGGGTATAATTTCTTTCTGTCTTCTCATTATTTATTTATTTTAATAAAGGAAGTTTACAATTTATTCAAACGTTATTCGATTGATATTCCACAAGAAGAACAAATGGCAGTTGAAATGCTTCGCAGTACTCATGAACGACTTCTAAAACGTGCTAAACATGTTACACATGACCTGGCCAATGCTCAGCAATCATTTCTCGACCGTTTTCTAATTGATAAAAAACAATTTCAAGATGATGTTGCAGATTTCGTAGGAGATTACGATCATAATGGCCCTATGATTGAAGGTTTACCAGCTCAAGAAGCAAGTGATCGTTTAACTAATTTCGAATCACGTTTTAATGATTTGTGGAAACGCTATGAAACGTTTGTAGCTGGTGAAGAATTATTTGGTTTAGATAAAACTGAATATATTCATTTACAAACAATTAAAAAACAACTCAATTATCTTAAACGTCTATATGGTCTTTATAATGATGTTATAAAAACTATGGAAATTTATTATGAAACAAATTGGAAAGATTTTCATATTGAGCAAGTTACAAATGAAATGCAAGAATTTCAAAGTATGCGGAGCAGTAGTGCGATTGTCAATCTAAATTTTGAACTTTTTTGTTTAGGTAAAATGAAAAAACTGCCGAAAGGTTTAAAAAATTGGCCAGCTTATAGTGAATTAAAGAAGAAATTAGATAATTTTAACGAATGTTTACCATTGCTTGAACTATTAATTAATCCAGCGATGCAGGTCCGTAGATCACTTCCTTCATTTAAAAGAAAGGTAAGACGTTCTGTTTCTTCGTAGTCTCGTCATTGGGAACGAATAGAAAAACTAGCTAAAATTGAAATTCCACATAATGATTCAACTATATTCTCATTAAAACATGTTATGAATGTTCCATTGATAAAATATCGTGAAGACGTTGAAGATATATCAATAACAGCACAAAAAGAACGTGATATTGAATCAAAATTACTTTCGATAGAATCCGAATGGCGTCAAAGAGAATTTAAATTCGCGTCACTTAAAAATCGTGGCGAACTTCTATTACGTGGACAGGAAACGTCTGAAATACTTTCAGCTATTGATGATTCAAATCTGATTTTAGCTGCACTAGCATCTAATCGTTATAATACATTTTTTAAAACTCAACTACAAAAATATATTGCTGATCTAGCTATCAGTGCTGAAATATTAACAAAATGGATGCAGGTGCAAAATCTATGGATCTATCTAGGTGATTATAAAAAAAACTTTCTAATAGACAACAATCTTCGTGAAGATTGTACCATTGAGGTTTTCTCTTTTCAAGAGCGATTAGAAAACTGCAGCTGAACGAATATCGAGTGATTGTCTGCGATGCGTCGAGATTGCTCATATTCGAGCATTTATTATAAATTGATAAAGTTCTGTTGTTTTCTCTGCATAGAAGCGGTATTTGTCGGTGGAGATATTGGAAAACAAATGCCACAAGAAGCACGACGTTTTGCTAATGTCGATAAGACGTGGATTAAATTAATGTCAAAAGCAAAGGTAAATTTCAAAGTTTTAGCTAAAAATAGCATAAATTTATTTCGTATAGGAAAATCCAAATGTATTATCATGTTGTACAACCGATGAAACATTATTTCCATTGTTGAATAATATGCTTGAACAATTAGAGCTTTGTCAAAAAAGTCTAGCTGGCTATTTAGAAGCGAAACGTGGTGTTTTTCCTAGATTTTATTTCCTATCGGATCCAGTTATGCTTGAAATTCTCGGTCAAGCTTCAGATCCAACAAAAATTCAACCCTATCTCAGTTCATTTACTGAAGCTGTACGATGACTACTCCACAACATTATTTAATCTTGTTCTTTATTTTAGGTAAAATTTGTCGAATTTCATACGAAAGAAACTGACCGTATTTTATCAATGATAACGAGAGACGGTTTGTTTTTCTAAATTTCTCCGCAATAAATGAAACGTATCTTCTCGTTTTCTATGAACTAGATGAGAAAATTCCATTGTATAAAGATGTCATAGCAAAAGGTCAAGTCGAAGAATGGTTAAATGACTTTATACGAACACATCAAAAAACCGTTCATCAATATATTCGGCGTAGCATAGACAAAATGACTTACGACGATTTTGATTTATATAAATTTATTGAACAAGAAATAGCTCAGTTAGGTCTTTTAATTATTCAAATCGTTTGGACAAAAAGAAGCGAAAAAACATTACAAGAAGCAACCAATAATAAAAATCTAATGAATGAAACAAATAAATATTTCTTAGATATGCTCAATCAATTTATTGATAAGACAACTTGTATCAAAATATTTTCTTGTTTTGAAATAGATTTTATTTTCTTTGCCTCTCTAAAGATGATCTAACGAAATATCAACGATTAAAATATGAAACATTGATAACTATTCATCTTCATCAGCGTGACATTTTTCACGAACTCTATCAAACAGGAATACGATCGGACTTAGATTTCGATTGGGCTAAACAATGTAGATTTTATTTTCGAGAAGACGAAGATTTACTTGTCGTGAAAATTACGGATGTCACTTTCCCATATGACAATGAAGTATTAGGATGTCCAGACCGACTTGTTATTACACCACTTACTGATCGGTAAAATACTAATTAGAATATTCAAAAAAAACATTATAACCATTCTTCTAGATGTTACATTTCCATTGCACAAGCATTGGGTACGTTTACATTTTAGCCAATCAAATGTTGCACCAAATTGAATCGTTTTCTTTTAGCAATGTCATATGGAGCAAGTCCTGCGGGACCAGGTAATTATAAATAAATTTTTGTATTGATTTTATCATCGTGAGAATAGACTAGTCGTGCATCAGGCATTATGTCTGGCTTCGAGAACAATCGACTTTACACATTTTGATTAGATTGAAATTCGTTTTTTAATGTTGTTTTCTTTCTTAATAATTTCTTGTAGCTGGCACAGGCAAAACAGAAACGACAAAAGACATGGCTCGAACATTAGGAAAATATTGTATAGTACAAAATTGTTCTGATCAATTTGATTATCGTGGTCTTGGTAAAACATTCAAAGGTTTAGCCATAAGCGGCTGTTGGGGATGTTTTGATGAGTATTAAAATCATCTGTTTTTGTTTTGTTTTGGACATTTTTATCTATTGTAAATAAATTAGGTTCAATCGAATAAATCTCCCTGTTCTATCAGTCGCAGCCCAACAAATTCAATGTTTATTACAAGCAAAACGTGAACGACGTAAAGAATTTCATTTTACTGATGGCGATAAAATTACATCAAACGATACATTTGCAATCATTATAACTATGAATCCTGGTTATGCGGGTCGACAAGAATTACCAGAGAATTTAAAAATTAATTTTCGTAGTATTGGCAAGTGGAACAGCTTCGGCAATTTTCTTCTTCATATACTGTTTCTCGTTTCTATTGCAGCTATGATGGTGCCTGATAGACAAATAATCATGAGAGTAAAACTAGCTAGTGGCGGGTTTTTGGGCAATACAAATCTTGCACAAAAATTTTTTACACTTTATAAATGTTGCGAAGATCAATTGAGTAAACAAGTAAAATTGAATCTGAATTACCGAAGAATATTTCTTCCACATTGTCACTTCTAAATAAGGTTCATTATGATTATGGTTTGAGAAATATAACTGCTGTTTTGAGAACACTGGGCACAGTAAAACGTACTCGCTCGAAAGATCCCGAAGATACAATTGTAATGCGTGTTCTACGTGATATGAATTTATCGAAATTGGTAAAATACGATAAGAATTAAATCAATCTACTGATCTAGCTTTTAGATTGATGAAGATGAACCGTTATTCTTATCTTTATTAGAAGATCTTTTTCCTGATATTAAATTAGATAAAGAAAGATATGAAGATTTGCAGAAAGCTATTCAGAAAAAAGTTGATGAAGACGGTTTAATTAATTTTAATGATTGGAATTTGAAAATTATTCAATTATATGAAACGCAACGTGTTCGACATGGAATCATGGTACTTGGACCATCGGGAGCAGGAAAAACAAAATGTTGTCAAGTGCTAATGGGTACATATAAAATTAAGCAATGGTTACCACTATAAATGGTTTCTTTTTGTTTTGCTACTATTAGGAGCATTGACAACTTTAGGTACACACACGGTAAGAATATTCATATTTAAATGTAAAGAAATTGTTAGAATAATAAACTTCGATAATCTCAATTGTTGTATAAACTTTGATTTGAACAGAATTTAATGATAGTGCGAGTTTGAGAAAAGGATTACAAATGCTAACATGCCACTGCTTGTGGTGATAGAGTCATAGTTTCGCCGACGATCGAACCGTGTTATGTCTTATAATAGCGTGATTACCGAATGAATCCAAAATCGATTACGGCCTCTCAAATGTTTGGCATTCTTGATGTTGCAACCAATGATTGGACAGATGGAATATTTTCTACACTTTGGCGTCGTACTTTAAAAGCTTATGAAGTATCATCAAAGTCAGGAATTCGTAAGTTTATCTTTCTTTACTAACAAGAAAGTCATTTGCTTTTGCGATAATCTGTTTAGAAGAAGCTTGGTGGATTATTCTCGATGGTCCTGTTGATGCAATATGGATTGAAAATCTAAATTCAGTTTTAGATGATAACAAATTATTAACATTAGCGAACGGTGATCGTATACAAATGGCACCGAATGTGAAACTTATATTTGAAGTGCACAATATTGACAATGCATCGCCAGCAACTGTGTCACGTTGCGGAATGATTTTTATGTCATCGACTGTTCTTCCTTGGAGGCCAATATTTCAAGCATGGATGAATAAACAAATAAAAAATATTGGAATTTATATATTTGAAACAGTTGAAAAACATTTCGATGAACTATTTAAATTATTAATTACAAAATGTTCACCGAAAATGAAAGTCTACGAATGTAACTATATTAAACAGGTTGGTTTTTTATTTTTATTTCGGCAGATAAATGATATACTATTCATAGACGATTGATCTACTCGATGGATTATTGAGCAAAGAAATCGAATATACAAAAGTTTATTTAGAACGATTGACTGTATTTTCATTGATGTGGAGGTATAAAAAATCTTGTTGAAGGATAACTTATATTTTGCGGTAAATTGATGGTTCGATGTATCCTTTTTTTTAAGTATGGGAGCATTATTAGAGCTAAATGATCGAACTAAAATTGAACAATATTTTATTAATCGAAATGATACTGATACTCCGAACAATATTCTACAAGGTGACTCAATATTTGATTACCTAGTTAATGATGATGGCCAATGGGGTAAGTAAAAATCATATAAAATCTAAATATTGTTATTATCATCAATCAAAATAAGTAATGCACTAGCTTCAGCATGCACAAGAGAACGTCTTTATGTTTCATCCTATCAGCTAGTTACTCATAAAAACATGATTGGTACTCCGTCATGTTTAGAATGAGATGAAAATTCGAATGTTTCAAGATATCTTGAATTCGGTTTTTTTAGAACATTGGTCGACTCATGTTGAATCATGGCAATATCCTAAAGATGAAAAAATTGATTTTGCATCAATTCTTGTTCCTAATATTGACAATGTTCGTATTTCATATTTGATAAAAATTCTTTCTAAACAAGAGAAATCTGTATTATTAATTGGTGAGCCTGGTACAGCTAAAACTGTAATTATTACGAGTTATTTAAAACATTATGACAGTGAACAACATTTAACACGAATCATAAATTTTTCCTCAATAACAACAAGCAGCTTAATACAAAAGACAATAGAAAATTTCGTTGATAAACGTGTTGCAAATACATTTGGTCCATCGTTTGGACGTAAAATGACGATATTTATTGACGATATTAATATGCCCATGATAAATTCTTGGGGCGATCAAGAAGCCAATGAAATTCTTCGGCAACTTGTTGAACAAAAAGGTTTCTATTCATTAACGAAGCCGGGCGATTTTCTTAATATAATTGATTTACAATTTCTGGCTGCTATGTGTCATCCGGGTGGTGGCCGAAATGATATATCGGAACGATTAAAACGACATTTTTTCATTTTAAATTGTACATTACCATCGAACAATGCAGTCGACCATATATTTGGTTCAATAGGAAAATATTTTTGTTTAGAAAGAAATTTTTCTAATGATATTATTGAAATAGTTCAAAAATCGATTTCAGCAACACGAATTCTATGGCAAACAGCAAAAGGAAAATTTCTACCAACACCAGCTAAATTTCACTACGTATTCAATTTAAGAGATCTATCACGTATATGGGAAGGTATATTACAAATTGATTATGAGCAATGTCAAAATGGCGTTGAACAATATTTACAATTATGGAAACATGAATGTACAAGAGTATTAGCTGATCGATTGATTGTAAGCATGGAAAAAGAATGGTTTAGAAAAGAACAGCATCGAATTGCTAAACAAACGTTTGGTGATGTTTATAATATTTCAATAGAAGAAGATTCCGAAATTTATTTTGCTAAGTAATTGAATTTTGCGTTTGTTCTTGATGTGGGCGTCTTCTAATTAAAGATGTCCTAGATTTCGTGAGTTGCCACAACAGCATATCCATGCCGAATTTACTTTCAAAAGCTTTTCATGAGCGTTTTTAGAGACATTCTACTTTTTACGGATTCTATATTTGATTTCATGTTTTCGATTTTTTGTTTGATAGTTTTCTTCGCGAAGAACTTGACGTCACGGATGACATGGGTGATGATATTGATCTTGCTGATTTATTGCCAAAAATTTATGAACCTATATCCTCATGGAATGTATTAGAAACAAAACTGATGTCTAGTATGACAAAAATGAACGAAGAAATTCGTGGAAGTAATATGGATTTAGTATTTTTCAAAGATGCCATGATTCATCTATTACGCGTACGGATTCTTCGTCAATTTTTTAGATAAATTATGTTCTGAAATTTATTTCTAGATTTCACGTGTCATTAATATGCCCAAAGGACATTTATTATTGGTCAGTTTCACTTTAATTTGTAATCAGGTAAAAACATCTATTCGAATTTTTTCTAGGTTGGCGTTGGTGGCAGTGGAAAACAATCTTTAACTAAATTAGCAGCTTATATCGCAGGTTAATAAATATATACATATTTTTATTTTAGACTCAAAAATGAATTTCACATTAGGTTATAAATATTTTCAAATAAGTGTCTCAAGGTAATAGAATAAACTTATTGTGTACTAACGAATTGATAGTAAAATCTATTAAAGAACGTATACGTTAAATAATTTTTTGGATGACTTACGTAATATTTATCGACGTGCAGCTCGTCTTGGTCAAGGCATTGTATTTGTGTTTACTGATAATGATATAAAAGATGATCAATTTCTTGAATATTTAAATAATGTTCTTAGTTCTGGAGAAGTAATTATTCTTTCTATTAAAAAAAAACGATTATGATTTCCTATTTTCCCCCTAGGTTTCTGGTTTAATAACACGTGAAGAAATGGATGAAACTCTATCGGAATTATCAGTGAAAATGAAAAAAGAATATCCAAAACGAGCATTAACAAATGAAAATTTACAAAATTATTACTATGAGCGGCTACGTAAAAATCTTCACGTTGTTTTATGTTTTTCACCAGATAACCGAAAATTTCGTGAACATGCATTGAAATTTCCCGCATTAGTTTCTGGTTGTACTATCGATTGGTGTGTATGGAAAAAGAGCGAGCTAAAATATATTCATTGGTGAACCGCTCCTTTCGTTAAATTAGGTTTTACCGTTGGCCACTCGATGCTCTTGTAGCTGTGTCAAATGTTTATTTAAATCGTTTTGATATTCTCGTTACGTCGAATACAATTAAAAGGAATGTTATAGAATTAATGGCTGATATTCATGATGATGTTAGTCGAATATGTGACAATTACTATGAAAAATTTCGCCGACGAACATACGTGACACCAAAATCATTTCTATCGTAAGAAGATAAAAGAGTAGATAGGATCTAATTCATCTTGTTTTTTCTTACAACTTGCAGATTTATTAATGCATTCAAATTGCATTATAAAAAACAACGTGAATATTTCGAAAAAGAAAAACAGAAAATGAAAACGGGCGTTCAAAAATTGTTTGAAGCAGCTGAACAAGTTCAAGAAATTACACAAGAGTTAATTTCGAAGGAAAAGTCAATGGCAATTGCTAACACGGAAGCAGCAAAAGTAAATTCTTATGTTTTGTTTTGCAATGAGTATCGCTCTCAAAATGTGCATCAGTACTTTATCTCTTACATGAAAATTGAAATCAGTAGAACAACAGTAGTTCTATCCGTCAATATCAGTCTAAAAGATATTCTACGAGCGCTCACGTGATTGGCAGTGCCAGTGAATGTTTTCGTTGCCATCACAACTTCAAGTTTCTACTACTCATTTATGCTTTTGTTTTCTAAAGCAAGTAGCCGAAATGGAAGTATTACGTAGTGCAGCTGAAATCAAAACAACAGAAGTTCAAGAATCGAAAGCGACAGCTGAAATACTTGTTAAACAAGTCAACGAAGAAAAAGCAATGGCCGAAGAAGAATTATCAGCCGCTGAAGTTATTTTAAAAGAAGCTGAAGAAGCTGTTAAAGTATGAAAAAAAAGAAAGTGTTTGGTTTTTTATTTCAATGAAAAAGGAATATTTAAAATATTTAAAGAAAGAGGAGTTCATGTTTAATTGCATTTAGCACTTGTAACCTTCTTAGTTGAATTAAATCGTACGTAGATAACAACTTGGCATGATTTTGTTTTCGCAATAGGACTATTGACGGTTTTACCGGTAAAATCGATTCTATAATTCATACCAGCGACAACTTGAGTTTGAACACCTGTAACTTCAATGTTATTAAGAACAATATTTTGTGTCATCGCTAAATGTTCAGCAGCATAGACAGCCAAACCTTTCACCGTTGGATCTTCGATTAGCTCCGGCTTATCAGCATAGCCACCAGCCATTAAACCGTAGCTGGCAGCAATTAACATCGTAGCAAGAACAATACTGAGGAGTTTAAACATTTTTGATTTTCAATAAAAATAAACTTTGCGTACTGACAAAAAGAAGATATTTGTATCTTTACTGGTTCGATGTTTTATATAGAAACGATGATATGCAGATATAACGCAGTAGGAAAGATAAGAACACTAGTCTTGTGACTTTTCAGTCAACAATTGTTAAGAAAGTTAAGAAAAAACAAAAATGATATGCGGAGTAATATTCAAATTTTATCGCTTTTATAACAGTTTTAGAGATTATTCTTCTCAATGAGACCAGCCACTGTAAACAAATGAAGAACTAATTGTTCTTTCAGTTTTGTTTTGTATACAAATGTTGAAGTAGAGTTGTGATGGGAAAAGTCTAATGTCTCCTATTCTGACATCCCTAATCTACGGTGAACTTCGAACATTTCTATCTTGAAAAGAGATTTTAAACACATGGTGAAAGTTTTCTTCATTCAAATAGCAAATCAAAGGAAATACAATAAGTAATCTTCGTAAATTGGCAAAGCCACCCGAAGCCATAATGATTGTACTTGATATGGCATTAATTTTAATGAAACGACGTATTGATCCGATACGAATAGACTATAATCTTGACGAACCTTTCTACGCATCGTCGAAAACTGAAATTTTACGACTTCTTAATTTTTCCGGATTATTATCAACATTGTTGACAATACGCGAACTCAATGATGAAATCATTGAATTACTTGCGCCATATTCCGAAATTAAAGATCTATCGGAAAAAGCTCGAAAAGCGTATCAAGATTTGGCAACACTAAAAACGTGGACAGGTGAAATCATCTATTTCTGATAGAAAATGCTTGTTTTTAAACCAATTTTTGTTTTAGATAAAATTCAATCGTATCATGCAATTAATAAAGAAGTTATTCCAATAAAAGTATAAGTCATAATGAAATAATTTTCTATTCATCAATATTCACCTAGGACAAAGTGCAAAAAGCAGAAAATTCACTTCGAAAAGCTTCAAGAAAATTAGCGAGAGCTGAACGAGAACTTGAAAGAACTGAAGTCGGTTTAGCTAAATGCCAGAATGATTTTGATGTAGCTATGCAAACAAAACAAGTATTTTCCTATATCAATGAATGAAGAGTACTAGTGCGGTTCGAACTTGTTTTTAGGCATATCAAGCAGATTATGACGCTCTACTTAAAAGGCGTAATGATGCAAATACATTAATATCAGGATTAACAGGTGAAAAAATTCGATGGAATGAACAAAATAAAGCATTCGAACAGAGTATTGAAAAGTAAGTTCTATTCAAAATTTTTCGCGTTGTAGTTTAAATCTATTTTTGATATATTAGATTAATCGGAAATAGTATTCTCGTAACAGCTTTTCTATCATATTGTGGCCCATATAATCAAGATTTTCGGCAACGTATGTTAAACGAATGGCAAAAACAAATACAACAAAGAACAATTCCTTTTTCGGATAACTTTGATATTATTGAAAAATTGAATGATGAAGCAACAGTAAGAGATTTTCTTCTAATATTAAATAAGACTACGTGAGTAAAGTCGATTAGGAGAATATTCAATAAATGTAAAATCTTGAAAAAGTCAGAAGACAAAAAAGCGAATTTTCTACGTTCTGTCTTCATCTTCTAGATCGGCGAATGGAATCTACAAGGTTTACCGAATGATGATCTATCAATTCAAAATGGTATTATAGCAACATCGAACTATCGCTACCCGCTCCTAATCGATCCGTAATATATACATATATTTTTTTATATCAACCATTTTCTAATTCAAAATCTAAATTGAGAATCCGTGATAAAGCAAAATATTCTATTAAAACTAAATTTACATGCCCGTTGATGTTGAAAGTATTCTTTTAAGAAATGTTTCTATATTTGATAGACAATTACAAGGAAGATCATGGATAAAAAATATGGAACGCGATAATGATATATTAATAACAACGCTTAATTCGAAAATATTTCGACAACAGCTTGAAGATTCGATTTCACTCGGACGTCCATTATTGATTGAAGATGTCGATGAAGAATTAGATCCAATGCTAGATAATATTTTAGAAAAAAATTATTTTAAAATTGGTCTCACTTATCGAGTACGTAAATTTTCCTTGGACATTTCGTTTTTCTATAAAAAAAAAATACATCATTAGGTAAAAGTTGGTGATCGCGAAGTGGTTTGTTTTTATTCGTGAAGAATAGAATATAAATAAAATCCATAGAAATATTTCAGGATGTTAATCATACATTTCGTTTATATATCACAACAAAATTAGCGAATCCAAATTATTCGCCAGAAGTATGTGCACGACTCTCAGTTATTGATTTCACTGTAACACAACGTGGATTGGAAGATCAATTACTTAGTCTTGTGATTGCGAATGAGCGTGTGGTAAGTTTTGTTGTTTAGAAGAGAAAATGAACTTTTTTGATTTAAATCTATATTAGGAACTTGAACGTGAACGAGTGACATTAGCACGTGAAACAACAAAAAATAAACGAATGCTAAAAGAACTTGAAGAGAATTTATTAATTAAATTAACAAGTATTGAAGTAAAAAAATAATTCACCATTAGAAATAATCAAATAGACGAATTGAATTTTTTATATTTTAGGGCTCGGTACTTGATGACCCATCGCTTGTTGAAGTTCTGAATGCAAATAAAAGAATAGCTACAGAAGTTAAAGAAAAAGTTTCGATTGCTGAAGATACGAAATTAAAAATTAGTGCAGCCCGAGAAGAATATCGACCTGTTGCTGTTCGAGGATCGATCATTTATTTTCTTATGTCAGAAATCGCAGTACGTATTTTCATTTCTATTCAAATTCACGGTATGTCCTACCACGGAGGGGATCAGTAAATATCATTTAGGCTATTGGTATAAGGTTTTTGTGCACTCAAAAAAAAGTGAGTACACTCTAGATTCGGTCAATGTGTCCGGCCGGCCGTTAACACGATAACCTTTGAACGCCTCTCATTCAATTGTCATGAAATTTTGTAAACATAATGATATCATTAATATCTCAGTCGAGTTCGAAGATGAGAAGGATCCGTCAAGAAATGGCTGAGTTATCGAAAAAATTGTCAGTATTGACCAGACCATCCCTGAGGGGTGGGGGTACAGGGATTTTTTCTTAGAATTATTCACAACATATATAAATCGACTCAGTTTTTGCAGCACACATAACAATCGGATGCGAATCCGATGTTTCCTCATTTATTTGGGATTGAAATTAGAAATATATTGCATTTATCGTTTTCAAATTCTTTTGTTAAGCTTGTTAATCATATGTATCAAATATCATTACAACAATTTCTTGGCCTCTTTCATGATTCTATGATAAAGTATTTGATTCATTGATTAATTTTGCATGTAAAAAAATGCTTTTTCTTTTTCAAGATCGAATAAAATTGCTGCAACACAAAAACGTATTCAAAATATAAATGATTATCTAACATATCGAACATGGTTTTATACAACACGTGGTTTATACGAAGACGATCGACTTATGTTTACCTTACTCATGGCATTAAGAATTGATTTACGTCGAGGAAAAATACGTTACGATGAATTTCAAGTATTAGTTAAAGGTGGAGCTTCATTAGATTTAAATATGTGCCCACCAAAGCCATTCCGTTGGCTGAATGATTCGTCTTGGCTTAATCTACTTGAATTAAGTCGACTAAAAGAATTTCATGACGTTATTGACCGAGTATGGCAAGTTCGAAAATAAACCATCACAGCTCCTTCTTTCTTTTCATTCAATTCCGATGAATTATTTGTTTAGTTACAAAAGAATGAACGCATATTTAAAGATTGGTTCGATAAACAACTACCATCATCTGATTTATCATCGTTACCCGAAACATATGAAAATTTAAATGTATTTCATCGCTTCTTATTTATTCGATGTATATCACCAGATCGAACAATATCGGAAGCGCGACACTACATTCAAGACAGTCTTGGAATAAAATATTTAGAAATTCCTGTTCTTAGTTTGGAGTTACTCTGGGATGAAAGTAATTCTAAAACATCTTTACTTGGTTTGCTTTCATCGGGCGCTGATCCAACGTCGAATATACAGACATTAGCAAAAAAGAAAAATATCGATTTATTTATTGTATCCATGGGACAGGGACAAGAAATTCTTGCAAGACGTTATCTACAGCAAACGGTTCAATCGGGCGGATGGCTTCTATTACAAAATGCACATTTAGGTTTAGATTATCTTGAAGAATTTCATCAAAGTAAATGTCAAAATTTTCAATTGAATATTAGTCATTTGTGTTTCTTAGATCTTATTTCAATGGATACATTCGATCCATCATTTCGTGTGTATGTAGACAATAACAAAAATGATCATGAATACGTTCGTTTGCTTTTGTCTTAGCTGGTTAACCACTGAAACTCATTCGGAATTTGCAATTCAAATTCTTCAGTCATCAATTAAATTTACTAATGAACCACCGCAAGGTGTACGGGCTGGTCTTAAACGTACTTATGGATTAATTACTCAAGATAAACTTGAATATATTGAAACAATCTATTGGCGTCCATTATTATATGCGACTTCGTTTCTTCATAGTATTTTACAAGTATTCGACTATTGAAAACAAACAAAAAATAGATAATAAAATTTTCTTTTTATTAGGAACGACGAAAATTTGGACCATTAGGATGGAATATTCCGTATGGTAAATTAAAAAATGTTAATTTAGACTTAAATTAATTTTTTTTCCAATGATAGAATTCAATCAAACTGATTGGGAAGCATCTGTACAATATATTCAAAATCATTTAGATGATATGAATCCGAAATTAGTAAAATGATTTATTTCGATGAAAACAAAAACTTTAGTTTTTCGTTATTAAAGAATATATCATGGAAAGCTGTTCAATATATGATATCAGAAATTCAATATGGTGGTCGGATAACTGATGATCGTGATCGTCGTCTAATGATTACTTATGCTCAAGTTTGTTTTTTATTTCTTCAATAATCTTTTATGAGATTGCGTTTCTCTTGATAGAAATGGTTTAATGATTTCTTATTTTCCTCAGATTTTAAATTCTATGATGGATATTCAATTCCGAAAGTAAAACGTATTGAAGAATATATTGATTTCATCGATAGATTTCCATTCATTGATTCACCACATATATTTGGTCTTGATTCAAATGCTGATATAACCTATTCAACAAATCGAGCGAAATCGATGCTTGAGAAAATTCTTCATATACAACCAAAAGAGGCAAATTCAAATATATCCGGTGCCGAAACAAGAGATAAAACGGTTCATAATCTTGCGAATGATATGCTAATTAAATTACCAAAGAATTTCATACAATATGAAGTAAACAAGAAAACATTTATTTCAATTGAATAATTTTCTCGAATAGGTACGTGAGAAATTACGCAGCATGGGTATATTAAACCCAATGATTATATTTCTGCGACAAGAAATTCATCGAATCGATCGTGTTATACGTACTGTAAGAAATTCTTTAAATAATTTACAATTAGCTATTGATGGTATTATTATATTAAATGATGTAAAAATGAAATTTTGAGGGAAAAGTTTTTCGAAAAAGTAAATATTTAATTGTAGACGCTACGTGAAATACTTGATTCCATCTACGATGGTCGTGTTCCTATCGATTGGGTATGTTGCAATTTTGGATCGATGCTTTGTTTTTATTCGAGTTTTCTTTAGACAAAATATTCCTGGGAAAGTAGTACACTTGGCTTCTGGTTTTCTGAATTACTTGATCGATATACGCAGTATAATAATTGGTTAAATTATGGTTAATACAAAAAATTATTTCAATATTTCCTATTTTCTTATTCGCCTTAACGATAGGTCGACCGAAATGCTTTTGGATGACAGGATTCTTTAATCCAAACGGTAAAGTCATAGAGTTTTATTGGTGAGAGTGTGAGTTGCTGACGATGAAGCTTTCCTTAAAACTAAAGTGCGATTCGAAATACGAAAGGCGCTAATGTGAATGAATTCTAAGATAATCTAAGTTCTTTTTTTTTTCTTAGGTTTTCTTACTGCTATGCGACAAGAAGTAACACGAATGCATCAAGGATGGTCACTCGATACTGTAACAATCGATAACATTGTACTTCGCTCATATAAAGATGATATCCGAGAAGCACCAACTGAAGTAAACAATTAACACAAAGAAATATATATGATTTAAAATATTCTTAAATATTTTAGGGTGTCTATGTGTATGGTCTTTATTTGGAAGGTGCTGGTTGGGATCGAAAAAATACTCGTTTACATGAATCACAAAATAAAGTCGTTTATGTTCAAATGCCTGTGATTCATATATTTGCAATCAATCCATCTGTAGCTAATCAAAAGGCAGGATTGATGATTACAACTAAAAAGGCTCGATTTAATCAAATATCATTTCGAACCAAACGACATGATCAAAGTTCCATTGCACCACACATTTATATGTGCCCAGTCTATAAAAAACCAATACGTACTGATCTACATTTTGTAGCTATGCTTAAACTAGCATCGAATAATATTTCTGAACACTGGATTTTACGCGGTGTTGCTTTACTGTGTGATATCAAATAAACATTTCTTCCTGATGTTTTTTCACAGACATTATATTAATTCTTAGTGTAACTCTTGTTGTCAGCCGAACATACTCGAGTTGTTCTATTCAACAACAAAAATGTTATGGGCTTAGTTTAATAGAAATTTCACATTCATACACCAGCACCCTGCTCAACTTATCATTGATCGTTATTGTAAAATTTAGTTTTTGAATGCTCTTGAAGAACTAACGTATTGTTTTCCAGTTTGAATACTCAAGAAAATATACGCCGAGAATGAGCATCAGCTCAAAATTCTTCTGTCCGCATAGTTAGTGTAATTATATATAAAAATATCAAGCGGATAAATATAATCTTTTTTGGTATTAATTATATTGGCTCTATGAAGTTCGAAGGACTAGTAATGATTTTTTCTTTTACCTCATACAATACATGTTTGTCATTAAAATTTTGATTCTTAACGGCAAGACATGTTCACTTGACTTTAATCCAGTTCTTGATTTATTTTGATTAAGTTAAACAAAAAGGAAAAGAGTAACTAAGAATAGAAACCAAAAAATGTATCTGGCTTCTTTGTCGTTTTGTGAAACCGTCGTTTATTCTTAGGAGTTGCCTCTCCATTTCCAAGATCATTCGACGGCGTTTCTACTGATGCATTTTCTCGTGCATAAATCTCAGCCAAGGATATTGATTCATGAATATCGTCCCCATTGCCAGGTATATTCAATTCCACGCACAGACGGCGAGCATTTTCTATACTTAGTTTATCAAATTTATGTTCAATGACGAGTCGTCCATCACGTAGAAGAGCAGGGTCGATGCCTTTAAAATCACAGTTAAACGTACAAACGATTTGTTGGTGCATGGCATCGCCGAGTAAGCCATCAGATATATTCAATAGGTTGGAGACGGCCTGGTTCGGCAGAAGGCTCGCTTGACTTCGATCACGGACAATATTCTCAGCATCTTCGATAATCAGAACTGAATTTGGATGTCGCATGAGAAATGGTAGGAAATCGGGCTTTGTCATATCCTAGAATAAGCGGAAAGGATTAGTCTATTCATCATTTTATGTTCTTAAAATGGCATTCATCTTCAACTCGAAGTTGATACTATGTAGATAAAAGGCGAATGGTTAACTTCAATTTTATTAATAATTTTCGATTTTTGGATAGTACGACCAAAATTCTGAACATAGAAAAACAAAATGAACTATGGAGAGAAGAACTTTTTTGTCGGATTTTTTGTATGAACAGAATTTATTCATCAATGTCACGGATTTATTAAATTCTGAAAGTTGTTTACTGTGTAATATGATTCACATTCATATTTTTTAATTAGAAATCTCGAAATCTTGAATTGAAGCAAATAGTTTTCGATTGACTTACGTTAACGAGATCAGGTGGAACAAAAATTACATGTTTGCCTTGAATTTCGTTGATTAAATATCGTAAATAAAAGGTCTTGCCTGTACCGGGAGGCCCGTGCAGCAATGTTATACCAGTAGAATCTTTTTCTTGTAGAGTTTCAAGAAGCTCCTTGTGAATATCCAAAAAGTTCTCTCCATAATGAAGTTTGAGATCGGTTATATGAGGCTTTTTCATACGTATCGGTGAAGTGTAGAAACCACGCTGAGCATTGTGACAGACCATGTGTAGAGTGGCTTCAGTTAATGGAAATATTTGGAAGTTTGTCAATTGTTTCAGTAAGATTCGCGCACGTTCTGCTGTCTGTGGCACATGGAAGATCTAAATAAAAACCAAAAAACGTATTCTCTAGAGATTCAATATGGAAATTAGCCACTTAAGATGTTTATAACTAGCAGTGCTAGTCACATTAAAAAAAATCTATTTATGAGTATGCTATATTTCAAAGCAATAGATTTTAGGTGACATGTTTAGACGAAATTCGAGGCATTTCTGGGGAAACCAGCGAACTTTTAGATTTGCAGGAACTTCTGGAGCTACTTCAAGTGATGCATTTTTAAGTACTTTTCGACTTCCAGTCCACTATTTCTCCCTTAAATTTGATTCTTCAATCATATATGTCAAACTTGAGACTCGAATTCAACTTTCAAGTTTGACACTACTGAATATTTAAAGGTTGAGCCTGTAGAAATAAAAACTATTTCAATATGTTTCATCTTTGACTTCTCTTAGTAAAATAAACATTTCAGATTCGGAATGAATGATAAAAATCAACCATCTAGCAAAACAACAACTTGTTCAAACGAATTTTAACCCACTCAACACGAATATCAATAAATTTTTCGATACGTAAAGAATAGCTTCATGATTGTATTATGTGTCTTTCTTATTCGGAAAAGATGTGATGAAATCAATGTTGAATGGAATTTTACCATAACAGACATAAAGCAATCGAAGGCTTGGTCTTCGTGATCTGGCTCGAGGTTGTTTGGATTATCGACATTCGCAGAACTTGTAAATTCTGAACTGAATTGTACTTAAAAAGAAAAAAAAATATTTGAATGTGTACTTTTACAGAATATCAAGTTTCAATCATTTATATTCTTGAAAATCGAAAAAAACCGAATACACGCCCCTCATTAATACTCAAATGATAGTTTTACTTCTTTATGTAGTCACATTTCAATTGAATTTATTTATTAATAATTCTGAGGAAGGTCATCGAAAATAATTTCTATATAAAGTTTTAGTTGATGCTGATTAGTTTTACTACATGAAAATAGTTCAACGAATCATTCTCTCTCTCTCTCTCGTATAGTTATTTAATTCTACATAATGATGAAATTTTGGTCATTTATTATTTAGAACTCTGCCTACACATATCATGCTGATCGACCTATTTTTTAATAGGCTAATGCAAAGAAAAGACTTTTATATTGAATTACGAAATTAATGTATTGCAATCTTTCCTCCCACTATGGCAAAACAGAAAAAACGTAAAGTTACAAAAGCAGAGTTCTTAAATTAGTCATGATAAAACGATAATGTAAAATTAAATGACGAGATGAAAGAGTCAGTAACTTTCAGAAATTTGCTCACACACCAGAATTACTAAGGATAACCTAAAATATAACCACAATTATCATGAGGCAAATATTATAAATTAGTTTTCCACAGTACATAATAAATTAGAACAAGAAAACAATTAGCTCCATATAAAGCCACCTTTACCTGAGAGATAATTTCCTAAGTCAATGTAGATCTGGGACATATTAGATTTTTGATGAAATACATCATAACTCCAGGTGTAGACGAATGTGTTCGGATCTAATTTGTAATCGTTGACAAGAAAGCGTATAACACTGTTTGAAAAACCAAAACAAATTTCAATAATTACCATCATGTAGAAACAAAGTAACAAACCTCGCCGTATGGTACATGCCTGGTTCTTTGTGTTTTCCAGACGATTTTCCTCGTGGACTACCGGAAGATTGATCATTGTTATAATTGGCAAAAAACATTTGTTCTACACTTGCATGATGCTTTTCATTAACTGCGCACGGAATGACTCGGTACTTAAGAGCAAAAAGAGCTCTTCCATTAATCATGCAACGTTGTTGATCAGTAAGCTTCATAAGTTCTTCATTTGTCATTGATCCATGTGTACATGCGCCAGAATAGTTCGGCGACAGAGTAACAGGAATATCAATGTGTTCAGTATTCATTATCTAGAAGAGAACATGGATTGTTTAACAATACCTTGAAAATAAAAGTAGAAAAATAATGTTTCGACAACCGCTGTTGGCTATTGCTTGTGAAAAGAACAAAATTTTGTTTATTGTTATTCCATAATAATGTATGTACCACCTGTTTTACATCACCTATTTTGCTTTTGTTTTATAGGTGCATTTTATCTTTTTACCCAAAAGAAAAATAACCACACCATATAACTTCACTGGAAGAAAACCCAGTCAATGTGAATCAACTTTGCTAGAGCATCGTTTTACCCATTCAACCGTTAGAAGAAGAAATTCTCAAGCGAAATTATTCCGCTTAAAATAAACTGAAATAATGAACGATGAGAAATTCTAACATAGTTTCGTTATGTTAAGATTCTTGTGAGAACCAAATCACGGATTTCTGCACTGTTTTTGATAGTGCATATAGAGTAATGAAGATCCCTAGTCAGACGGTGCGTCAAACTCTAGGTGTCGGTACATGTCGATCTTGGTATTTCAATAGAGACGAGTTTTAAACAAATAAAGAAAATCACTTTTTAGTTCGCTCATATCCATGTGGAAAAAAAACAGGTTAAGAGACTTATTATCGTTGTCCCTTAGAACTAACATTGATATTTTTCCTTTTGATAAATATATATGAGTGTCAAGAAAAAATTTCAATTCACTTTTAGTGAATTTTTAAACGAATTTAATAAGAAAAAAGAAGTTAAAAAAGTTAGTATATTTAACATTCTCTTTGATTATTATTGATTCGAACTTCATATGAAAAATTGAGCTTCATTGACGCCTACCAGTAAAACTCCGAGCTTACCATCATAATCAACAGAATTTTCATTACTTTCGATTTTTTACGTGAACAGAATTGATTTGGATAAAAAGTCTAAAATTATACTGTCGCATTTCTTCTCGTATTATAAGTATTGGTTTAGATTGAGAGAGAAAAATCTCTCCACGAATTTGAAGTATTAGTGAAAGAGATGCTCATCATGACATAATTTATTTGACCTGAGTCCATCCATTTAGTAGATCTTTTCTCAGTCTGAAGGAATGAGTGCGAATTTACAATTAAAAATTCACACTATGTGAGAGAGAATCTCATTCACACAAACATTCATTGGTTAAAGCATTTCATATGTTTTGTCTTTCCTTTCATTCATTCGATTTTATTTCGATGGGATGGAACGAACGAACGTGTGTTAAGATAGGTTCGACAAAAAAATCATCTGATCGATCAGAGAGGATGCATTATTTTTATTATAATTTTGATTTTTGCAGCTCGCATTTCAATAGAATGATTTATTATTTTCATTATTGAAGAATTTCCATTCAATGATTCATCACACGTAAATTACCAAAGAATTTTTCGGAAAACAAAATATTAAATTGTAGCCACTACGCCGAATACTTCATTCTATCCATGAAATTAACATCGAATGATATTTCTGACCATTGGATTTGTACTGTGTTAGCTATATTAAATAAAAACGGTTTCTTTCGAATTTTTGTTTCCTATCAGTTAGAATTTTTTCTTTTTTTTTTCTTTTTTGATCTATGATACAACACGAAACAGCTTTTGACCTTTTTCAACGGCTTAATATCAAAGACGATGATCAATATCAATCGATTATTGCTCGTCTAAATCGTTATTATGAAATATTGTTTCCAAATGGTTTTAATAATCAAGGTCAATTAATCGAATTATTAGATAATAATCGAATAATAACAAAAACATTTCTTCATGGTTTTATTTCTGATTATATCGATTATATGAAATATCGAAATGATTTACTTCATTTACCATTGAAATCAGAAGAAATTTTATCAAATTCACCTCGAGCTAATAAAGATTCAGCTCAATCAACTGTTTCAATATTAGAAGTTCAACTTAATTTCAATGAATCGATTACATTCCTCTATATTGATACAGAATTTAAAGAATGCCCATTTAGTGATAGTAAATATATTCAATGGTTTGATTGTGAAACATCAAGTCAACTTATTTGTACATTACTTCGTATGGAACAATCGTGTTTTATAGTAAATCCTAATCGTCAATTTATTCTCATTATTGATTCAAGTACTCAAGTACGTATTGATCATTAAGAATATACTTGAAATATATCTTCTACGATTAGGTCCCCATCAATGATTATTTCTGTACGACAACTCGAACACATGTAATGCCAATTGATGAAAATAAATTATTAACTGTACAATGGCATATGATTCTCTATCGTCTTATAATGAAATATAAATTATCGTGTATACTTATTGAACATCTTGATGTTAATACTCCTATGTTTGATACGATTATTGGAAAACGAGATGAAAAATTAACAAAACAAATGAGTAAAAATAAAGATGTCCACGGTCAATTCTCAGAATTTGCCTTTGGACGTTTAATGACTGGTGAACATTATAGAAATGATTGGAATAATCAATTAGATTATCGTCAAATAACTGGTAGTGATATGATGAAATTTTTAAATGAACCAAAACAGTCTTCACTTTTTCCTTTATCTTTACTAAACAATGAAGAATTGAATGGCAACGATTAAAATATTCCTTAGGATAATAATTATTTAAAAAACTCGTTTTCCTCATAGATTTTATGCTGTATTAGAAGAAAAAAGCCGTCATATTGAAATACATAACTAAATATCATATTAATTATACTTTTTGAATGCGTCTCATTCTGAAATAAAAATTTTCTTTTATTAACGCTTCTTTGTCACGACAAAGTCAATTGTTTCTTTTGTTGTTTGCCAATTTTATTGTATGAAGTAGACGGTGAGAAATTCAAACGTAGTCCCTTTTTCAAATTTAGGTTCATTGTATTTCAGATTTTCAGATAGAAAACAGTTTCTCAACACATTCCTACTAAAATTTAGAACCCACACAATTGTGCAACTGTAACTCAGATAATCTTCGTCTAATCAAAATCGAGTGTTACTAGTTGGGGTAGCCAAAAAAAGAGAAATGGAAATATTAGAAAAAAATTATAGGTATAATAAACAACTTTCTGTATGCCATAAAAACTGATTTTCTGAAGACAGTTGCGTTTGGATCCAATCAGACAAGAAATTTTTCTTGTAAGTATCGTCAATCTTGACACCGGATTGGGTGTGGGTGAAGGTGTATGTGTGATGACCCTCTTTGCCGACATGCACCCATGCCCACACCCTCACCATCTGAGGAGACCCTTTAAAAAAGTCTAAAAGCATCATGGTTTGTCTATAACACACTCATATACTCTTTAGATAAAAGTAAAACACGAAGAACTCAACGTTAACTGACATTTTAAATCTTTTTTTGCCATTGAATAAGAACGCTTTATCATTAACACCAGTCGACATTTTATATTAATGTTGACACGTGTAAACTAGCCATCTACATAACACTAGAGAATTGTTCACGTTATCTATATGATGCGTTGTTGCAGCGAAAAGTGAAAAAATGAAGTAATGTTGGAATATTCCAGAAACAAAATTTGACTCTTCATTCTGTTTTCCAACTTTAAAGATAATGACGTCACTATTTATCTCCCGTATACTATAAATGCTTTTGGCGTTATCGACTTCTTTATTCAGCAACTTTTCACACATCGATCATTTTTATTTGTTGATTACAGAACGTGTACGTGTATCAGACTAAAAGTACAAAATGCCGGCAGTAATCGCAGCAGTCGCTGTCATTGCTCTTACAGTTACAGTTGCGGGACCTGTATTAATTGCTGCTGCCAATGGGGACACTGTAGTCAATATGCTTGATTGTATCAAAAAGCTGATTCAGCAGATTAGAGAACGAGCACCTGGGATGCCCAAACCACCACCTGGACGGAGTAAAAAGGATATGGAAAAAGCAGCACAGGAGCTCGGACTGAAGTACAAATACTACAACTTTGGCTTTTGTGGCCCTCAGGGAGCAGGTAGAGGAATATAGTCTTTTATTCAAATATAAAAAGAGTCCACAAGTCTGCTATTTTAGGCAAATCGTCACTAATTAATAGTTTGCGAGATCTTCCAAATGTTGAAAAAACCCAGGACTGGAACCATGACATTTTTAATGCGGCACCTACAGGAGAAACAGAAACAACCACTAGATTGAACCAGTACGGATGACGTAAAGATGATGAAGCACCAAGATATTTACGACTATGGGATATTCCAGGTTGTGGCACAATAGGCAATCGGATACAAAACTACTTTAATGACAATCATTTGTATGTGTTCGATTGTTTACTTATGATCACACAAGGAATTTTGGGTGAATATGAGCTACGAATTCTTAACGAAGCTGGAGCTTGTAATACACCTATAGTCATTGTACTGAGCAAATCAGAACTGAAAGCAGAGTCGAAAGCTAGATGCCGTTACGACAGAAAAGACATGTCGGCGACAGAATATCAGCCTATTGTCGAGGACACTATCAATGAAGCAAAGCAACACATGTTGGATACTATAAACAAAGCACAAGCGAGTTACAAATCAATCAAAATCTCAAGAGTCTTTGTTGTATCGGCTGTTAAGTTTAGAGATTTTCTCAAAACTCATACTGAGACTGACGCACTTCTTGCTTTTGAGACATCAGAACTACTGAGTTATTTGGTTGCCGAGGCTAAAAACAAACGCGTGGCTTAATTATTTACCGTTGGTCTTGTTTTCATATTCTGATATTTCAATATATTTTATAATTTACTTTGAGTAATAAAATAAAATTTATTTATTCTACTTACAATTGAAACAAATTTTTTGTTTTCAAAAGTATATTATAAAATACTATTCATTTTATGACGGTCTTCTTTTTCGGGAGTGTTTTTAACGATAGACGACTTATATAAAGGAGAAATAGCGGACTCATGAGATTTAAAATTCCTAAGGAATGTATGTGGATCCGAAAGTACGATGGTGATCCCAAAAATGAATTCCAGCTTTTGTATTTGGTGGATATTTTTTGAATTTGCACTTAATGACATCACAATCGATCTCATGACATGAATCTTGATTGAACGGCACCTACTGGTTTTCAATTCGAGCTTCATACATATACTAAGTCTTTGGCGGTGTTGGCTAATACAAACTTTTCCATTGGTTATTTGTTCATTGTGGGGATCATTATCCGCTATAGTCACTGTCATTATGAGTTCAATGTGTACTGATGCATGGGTTTTCAATATTCTACGTTGTGGTTTATCCTGTTATTTATTTACAAATTGGGGTACATTCGATTTTATCGTCGATATCGTCATTTCTGCCTCTTTTATACTGATTGCCAATATAGCACTTGTTGTACGTATCATCGCACTAGCGTTGCCCGGAATGCATAGAAATCGGGTGAATTGACAACAGCAACGTAAAATGGTTATGCAGTTGGTTATGTTCACCACACTCTATCTTGCAATTTGGATTCCGTTATCCATGGTACAACTCGGTCTAATCTTTTTTGATCCAACTCTCTTTTACAGTCTGAATGGCATTGTCAAATACCTTGTCTATGTTGTTCCATTCCTTCTACCATTCGTTTGTTTGAAGTCAAGACAGGTATACATAAAAAAAATGCATGTGTATGTAATGTCATTCATAGGAAACTAACAATTAATGAAGCGTACGATAGTAATATAGGATTGAAAACTTTTTATCGTATTATTTAAGAACACAAAAACTGAATCTAATTAGTATACTTTAATTTTATTATGATATGAATTTCAAATAAAATATGAAAACCCGATGAAATCTACATCAATAAGTAAATAGTAGAGTCTTGTAAACCAAGGAATCCACCGTGAACTGGATAATGTATTCCAAATTACACTATTGATGCAAAAGTAAATGATGAGAGAAACATACTAACGGGTGTTGGTATGAATACTTGAAAAATTCTCGACTAAGAGATTAAGCGAACTTAAATTACGTACCAATAGAAAACTCATCTAAAGCCTTATCTAAAGGCTAATAATATTAAAAGAGCAAAAGGTGAACTATAAAAATAAAGATGTTATTAAACTATTCGCTTTGAACAATCAATTCTCGTTCTGAAATGCCATTTTCATTAAAAGCTTCTACTGAAAAGTAGTAGTTTTGATCTACTGTTAAACTTTTCAGTTCTAGAAAATTTTTTTCATAAACCATCCACGAATTATACATTTTATCAGGAGAAATTCCCCATATAATATTGTATCCAATGCAATTTCCTTGTTGATCCCATGTAATCATAGCATCTCGTCGATCCTTATATCGATTTACAACTAAATTTTTGACTTTAGCCGGCAGTTGACCATGTCCACGACCGAAAATCCTTAAATCGGAGATAGAAAGTTTTGGCGTTGGTACATGAATATTTCTGTAACGAATATATCTGACAATTTGAGGAAAATCAATTTCAACATAATCATTTGGCACGTCTTTATAATCATTTATTCTATCGACTAATATTGACCAGTTTTTCCCATCCATTGAACTTTCTATAAAATATCGATGATACAATCCTGGAACTTTTCCATAGATATTTGACTTGTAATCATGATAATTAATTTGAATAGCATATACTGTTGCAAAATTGAGAAGATCAATTTCTAACCATTGCTTATCATCATTGTTTTCTGCAACCCAAAATGTCTTTACATTTTCATCAACTATATTTTCTGGTTTATATTTATCGTAGTAAGATGATGCTTTCACTGACTTTTTATATGAAACTAACATCCATCCAGTAAATTCTCCCATTTTCCCAGCAATTGTTGGAGCATAATGTGGATAATCACCAAAAGAAGTATTTGTATACATGAGCCCATCTCTGTCAAAATAAGTTGGAAACATACATATACGTCTTTCCCAATTAACATTTATTGATACTGCCATTGATGCAAAATGCCAATACGTGATATTAGGTCCAATTACCGTACTGCCATGTCCAGCTCCATTCATAAACCCACCTGGTTTGTATGAAACAGGATTGTTTGGAGCGTAATGATATGGCCCAAGAGGTGAATCACTCATATAAATACCATCACCATAAACATTAAATTCTGTTCCAGGAGCTGCATACTGCATGTAATACATATTATTGTATTTTGTTAACCAAGGACCTTCGATATAGCCTTTAAGTACTGTATCTCCATGATTTTCTCCAAAACGTTCCCATCCATGATTATTTTCATCTAAATTGAATAGCTCATAAGTTGCTTTAGAAGGGCGAAACATATCTTCTCTATCCAGTGTTTTTGCTCGAATAGGATACGTATTTGATGAGCCCCAAAACATGTAGGCTTTTCCATCATCATCAATAAATAAATCTGGATCTTGTAAATCATTTATAATTAATGGTATTGCTTTCCAATCTCCTTTCTTGGGATTATCTGTATAAAGTATACTCATAGAACCAGAAGGATCTCCAGTTACATATAAAACAGAATCATTGTAATTATGGGCAGCTGGTGCATTTGATCCTTGAAAATACCATTTCTCAGGAGTTATAAATGACCAATGAAGTAAATCAGTGGAATGCCAATAACCCATTGAACGGGTAACAAACATGTAATATTCATTTCTAAATTTAACAACGGCTGGATCAGCGCCAGAACGATATGAAATATTTTCATTTGCATTGTAGATACTGTAAGTATAATCAATATTAATTGGATTACAGTAAGTACTTGTTTGAGTGGACTGACCACGGATATTCAGTAAATGATAAATATTGAGTATGATTACAAGCAATGATATCTTAGCTATTCTATTCATTAGGACCATATGTGAGTTAACTACCTTCTACGTTTACCATATAAATATAGAAATAATGAAAGAAAAATAAGATGTACTACTTTTTTCTTGCAAGTATAAATTTTGTTAAGGTTTACGGTGGTTTTTTTAAATTCTGAATAAAAACAAAAATATGCATATAATCCCAATGAATATATACTGTATATACCATAATTATACGTTTTAAAATGTCAAAACTTTCTAATATGATATTATATAGATTAGAAAATAAATCATAGTAAAATGTCAAATGATTGAATTTTTAAACCTTGCAAAAGTATTCATTATGTTGTTGTGTTGCGTTCTTTTTCTTCAAAGTAAGAAATCGAATACTCTTTCTCTTTCTCCGTTGTATATTCGATGAATGTTGAGAATGAGTATATGCATCAAAATACAGATAATTTAGTCTTACTGAAAAATCATATCAGGGACAAATATTAATTTCAGAGTAACAGTAGAATAGTTACGATTCGATTGAATGATGTATTTATGCATATTGCAGTATTTCTTAGAGAGAGATTTCAAAATTTAGTCATGTTTTATCATTTAAATTTCGTATTGGAATAAAAGCTTTAAACATAAACAATATCAAATACTCATAATACAATGCCTGTTTTATTATAAAAAAATATTCAGATTATTAATATTATTTACAATTTTAAGCATATTTTATAGCATAAGATAGATACTAAAAATTTTACTCGTTGTCATGAAAATATTCATTTATTTTCATGTAAATGTGAATGTAATGTACGAGAAAAAAAGAGAGTAACATCAACAAAAAGAATCAAAAAATCAAAGAAAAAATATATATTCATAGCTAATATGAAATAAATCAGTTTTATTATCTTAAGTTCATCAATAAGGTGGTTCATCATTAATATCATGGTTTGATGGTGGTATTTGTATATCATGTAGTATTGAAAGATATAATGGATCATTGAATAAATATTGTTGATGTTGAGGATCAGAAATATTTCCAATTGCACCTGTTTGTCGTTCACTTGGTGCCCCATCGGAACCTAAATTTTCAATATTTAATTCTTGAATTGACATTGCTGCTGGAACAGATGCATTAGTAATTGATTGTGATGATGATGATTGATTATCATTTAAATTCATTGGATGAGAAGAAGGATCTATACGTGGATAATTATAAGGATGATAACATCGTGATCTCATACCAGAACTACTGTCAGTCATAGATGAAAAACGCGTATGTGCTTGTGGATGGCTAGATGATGAACCAAGCAAGGGATCCATATTATTCATTTGAACATAATGTAATG